TAATTTGAAATATCATCTTGAATGATTTTCGATAAAGTTTTTTTCCGCTAGATCAGAAAATACAGGGTGCTCGGAACAAACGATCTACAGGGTACTATTTGATTTTTTTAAATAAAACACCCTATTTTTCATTGTATTTTTAGATTCTCCCTGAAGAGCTGATTTGATCAATGTATCACACTTGGGGTCTAGCGGGACTGATTACATAGAGATATAGGGTGTTCAAAATCGAGATTTTTAACTTTAGGATTTTTTTGTGACGAAACTATTCATTATCGGTCACGCGGTTTTCATGTCCGTATCTTAACTTTTGATTTACTATCTACTGACATTTAATAATTGGAACAGATACAGGGTGACCAGAATTCTGAATCTTGAACCACCCTGTAAATGTTCCAATTAAATTTCACTAGATAGTAAATCAAAAGTTGGGATGGGAACATAGAAGCCGTTTTGACCAATAATGAATAGTTTCGGCACAAAAAAAATCCTAAAGTTGGAAAATCTCGATTTTAAACACCCTATATCTCTGTAATCATTCCCGCTAAACCCCAAGTGTGATGCATTGATGAAATCAGCTCTTCAGGAAGAATTTAAAAATACAATAAAATACAGGGTGTTCCATTTAAAAAAATCAATTAGTACTCTGTAGATCGTTTGTTCCGAGCACCCTGTATTTTCTGATGCAACGGAAGAAAAGTTTCTGAAAAATCATTTTCGATTATTCGTCAAATTTTTGAATCGGTTCAAAAATAAGTGAGCTAGAGGGGGGGACATTTATGGTGAATCACCCTGTACATATGAAATAAGATTCCTATTTTATCATGTAGAATCACCCCCTTGATTTTTTGCGCATAATTTCCAAACACCCTGTATAAATGTGATTTATCACACAGCATAAACTATCTATATATCTATCTATGCCGAGATCTTGTGAAGAAGTGTATGCAAATTCTACTGAAATCAATAACCTAGGCCAAAAGCATTAAATACTGCCTGGTACATATCAGATTCTAGATAGCGATGAATGCCGCTTATCTGAAGCATCCGGAAATGTATCTGTTATAACTGGCTGGTGAGCAGTCAATAATAAATAATAATAATAATCATAGAACAACAATAATTATGTCAGTGAAACGTTTTAATGAAGGTTATCTTGTCTCACGATAAACTGTCTGTATTTCAATATTGAAATTAACTAGCCGTGTGAATTGTAGCATTCACAGGTATATATACACTGTGTTCAAGAAAAGGAGAGCCAGTATAGGCATCTCGGGAACAACGTTTCGTCGTTGAGTAACCATCATCAACTTCATTTTTCCAAATACGGCCTGATATTTTGATATCAGATTCGAATAGCACTTTCCATTCTAATTACGAAAATATGCTACATATTGAGGTTTTTGATGCGTTTCGAGCTAATTTTGACCATCATCTGTCTGTCTGTCTGTCTCTCTGTCCGTCCAAAGAATGTGCCATAAATTTCAATTTGATTCAATTTATTACTTGGAACACGTTACATAGCAACATTTTTTTCTGCCTAGGCCGTAAAAGTACGCTTCCATGCCTGTTAAGTGCCATCAAAAAGCCACTGCAAATGTTATTTAGACAGAGAATGAATTACTTTTGTTAGGAAACGGATTGAAATCAGTTCAGAGCCAATGTTTACGTGAAATCTTCGATAAAGGCGCGCTGTATGTTCTGTTGCCTAGACCACAATCCATTGTTCATAGCCATATTGATCATTGATTAGGGTCATCTCCGATCATTTCAGTGTATGAGTTGATGTTGAACAACTTGCCCTATCCACAGCTTTGCAGATGATAGTACCCTCCATACCGCGTTCTCTTCCAGAATTCCCATTTCCTCACAGGAAACTAAGAACTCACGGCGCAGGCAGGTCAATGCTGTCAATGAAGATCTTGCTGAAATCACAGCCTGGGCAACCAACAACCTAGTTGAATTCAACGCCACCAAAACTCAAGCCTGTATTTTCTCTAGAAAGGCGGAACTCAGTATGCCCGATATTGTAATGTCTGGCTCCACCATCCCCACCAAGCCCACCATATCTATGCTCGGTATTTCCATCAGCAACACTCTTTCATGGGATAATTATGTCAGATCCATCGCAAAAGCTGCTTCACAAAAACTCGGCTTCTTGTTCCGTGCAAAAAGCTACGTTACACCTCAACAGCTTCTCATGATCTACAAGGCGCAGATACGGCCTGTTCTAGAATACTATTCCCACATATGGAGTTCAGCACCAAAACATACGCTGATGCTCTTAGATTCCATCCAGAGAAGAGCCATTCGCCTGGTGGGTGACGCCACACTCACTCGCTCTTTGACATAGTTGGAACACCGTAGAAAGGTCGACGACCTTTCACTTTTCTATCGATACTTCCACGGGAAATGTTCTTCGGAAATCTCTGCTATCCTTCCTTCACTAGCAATACCAATCAGACGAACTAGACAAGCCCAGTCAGCACATCCTTTCGTTGTCAACCTCGAAAGATGTCGAACAGCACTTTATCAAGACTCCTTCATCCATAGAACGGCTAGGCTCTGGAATTCATTGCCTGTGGAAGTATTCCCAACAACATATAATCTCCAGAAGTTCAAAAAAAAATTCCAATTCCTACCTCCTGTCCCTATCCTCCCTAGGAACGCACGATGTTCTTTGAACATTATAGGGATTCTCTTTCGTGCGCTCCAAGCGATAAAAAAAAACTTGTTGAATACGAAGTCGAAGGCAAAAAATTATTCTTCTTTGAAAAATGTTAATGTCGCTTTTTCCTGCAAATTAGGAGAACTATAGATCTATGAATGATTATTTTTCTGTCGAAATATCAATTTGAATGACGTCAGTATAAGCAGAAGTGATCACACCACGTGAATCATAGACACCTCTGACACTAGCAACGAAAACAAATAATGGTGAGAAAGCTGAGAGAAGAATTGAAACAAATCGATCTAAACATCGATTTAGTTAATGGACCAGAGACTAGCTTCTATAAATCCACAGATCTTGCGGTATTTCAGAAGTCCAAGCAAAATATTTATAGTACATTTCCGCATTTGCATCACAAGAGAAAAATTTTACTGTTTAGTTAATGGTTATAGGAATTTTTTTCCAGATCTCTCGATTTCCGTGATGATTTATAGATCAGGTGCCATTTTAATATGTGTCTGAATTCAGGTGTAGTTGTTTTATTATACTAGAATCGAATTATGCAAATCGATATGTCAGAAATGGGATATATTATGGACATAATTGAGATGATACAACACTATCTCAAAATCAATCTGGGAGTTCTAGTAGGTGAGTTGCCACATTAGCAAAAAATTATTGATTCATGATAGAATAAACATGAATAATTCTTATATACTATAGTCTACCTTTATCTCTGCCATCTGCCTTCTGTCTCCCCAGAAAAAAGTTTGAATTTTTGTTTGACCTACTACTCAGTATTCAGAAATTAGCATTCTATTTGTGCACATTAAAACACATTCCATCTCGATGAAGAACTGCGTTCAATAAATCAATAAAGAATATCATTTTTCCTTGATGAATAGTGAAAATAATATTAGTGATGAATAAACTCCTCCACAGAAAACAATATTTGTCGATGACGTGATAATTGATAAAAAAAAGGGCACCTTTTTATCATATGTTAAACCACAAGTGATACTATATTTCCAGGAAAAATAGTATCACGAGCTGTATTCCTATGATAATTCCATGATTGAGACAATAAACGAGCGGCTCGCGAGAGTTGCGCACACAGCATCTATCATTCTGGCTTCCAACACAAAATTCCAAAATTTGTTCGCTGAAAAACGAGCAAGGTTGGCGACGTGTTGGTCAATTCGGCTTCTGTATTGGTAGAGCAAGGCCGACAAAATTCAATTCACAAAAAATATCGCTGTAATACAGAAGAAACCGCGAAAATGGTAGATTCTGATTGATTCTACAGACTAAGAGTGGAATAGTCGCTGTAAAACTGTATGCCTAGTATGCCTAGTAAGTATGCCTGATGTCACTCCATCAATTTGTATCATGTCAGGTTTCATTGTTGATTATTGTTCATGCGTGAATTAGCAAGATCAGCCGTTTCATGAAAATTTCGTCTGAAAAAAACACAAAAAATATAACAAAACAATTGTGCGTAGTACAAGAAATACGAAATCATCGATAAAGGTAATTTGTATTGTTGTTCATTTGTAGATTGTCATTGATTTATCTTGCCAAAGAACACTCGAACTTTTTTTTCATTGGATACATTTCTTTACTAACTCAAACATTTTCCATCAGTAATATCTCTCGAAAAGCTGGCATTAGACAAAATTGCGATACCGTAGCAATTCTTTTATGTCAGTTATTCTCGTAATATTACTGATTTACGAATGTTTTCCTTTAGAAAGATACATTTATGGGATAAGAAAAACTCTTGTATGTATATTATATCTTATATTACTGTTGAAGAATTTTGCAAAGTATAGCAATAGTAGTAGTAGTAGTGGGCCAAGCACAGATCCCTGAGGAACTCCACAAGAAATTGGCAAGACACCCACCTAAAACAGTCCCGTGATATCTATTTCCCGGTATGCCAGACGCATTCCTATACACATACCAGTAATGTCATTGATGTGAAACAAGAAGAGTACTGGGCCAAGCACAGATCCCTGAGGCACTCCTCAAGAAATTGGCGAGACACCCACCTTAAACAGTCCCGTGATATCTATTTCCCGGTATGCCAGGCGCATTCCAGCACATACCAGTAATGTCATTGATGTCAAACAAGAAGAGCACTGGGCCAAGCACAGATCCCTGAGGCTCTCCACAAGAAATTGGCAAGACACCCACCTAAAACAGTCCCGTGATATCTATTTCCCGGTATGCCAGACGCATTCCTGGAAAACGCGAATTGAAATTGCGATCAGCAACAAGTGGGAGGTCAGACGACCAATAGCAGTGTGGAAAAGTGGGTGTTACGGCACGCTTCACACGGTATATTAACGGATTCTTAATTGAGAAGCGTTAGTGAGTAATTGGATCAATCCAGATGGATTAGATCATTGACTGTTGATGAGTGCGTGTTTTGTTTTCTTTCCTGACTGAGCATCGAAGTGGCCGAGAAATACATATTTATGGGATTAGTGGAGTGAGCATGGTTAGAGGTACGGAAGCTATTATTTTGATTATTGACCGATAGGTTAGGTTATGTGACATATGTTTGGAACACTATGTACATATTTTGATGTTAAAAAATGATAGAATCTTCCAGGGTTCTTCGTGCATCAAAGTAAATTAACATTTTGTTCGCAAATTAAGCGTTTCGTACGAGCTGCCTGTGTTCCAAAATGAAATATAAGTGCGATATGCGTAGTACAAAATATAAAGGAACACCGGTTTTGTAAGCCCAAAAGGTAATCAGTGTCAGTTGTAGTTGCATTTAATAGTTATGTATTATACAAGGGAAAAAAGTTATAGATTTAAGCTCGCTATACGCGTCGAGAGCCGAAAAATTGTGAGCTAAAATCTAATATTTTTCCCGTGTATAATACACTATTTTTTTCTGTGACAAGAAAGAACGAATCAATATTGAGAAGATATTACATTATTTTGAAATCTGAAAATTATCGACGTGATATTTTAAATACTATCTTTAGGTTAATCGAGGAGGTGGTATATACATTCATTATTCCAAATTTTTTGGGATTTTCTCTCCTCGATTCTATAAAATATAAATATGAATATTATTTCAATATACGTGTAGTAAGGACAAATCAGATGATTTGCCCCAAAAAGTCACTGCGTTTAAAGAATTTTCCGTTCAGAAGACAATAGCATTGCCTCTTGTTCAGTTGATATAGACAGAACATGGTATTCACTACTAAAATCTGAACATGAAAATGGTAAATTCAAGATTAATTAATGAAAACATCCTGTAACTCATTTGATTGCCAACGTCACCAATTGTCATTGAAAACTGAAAAGCTTAAAGACATATTATACGACTTCGCAATTGAAAAAATCTCTTTTCATGTTGAAAACGGGGCAGAATCGGTCCCGAAACGTCCAAAGATAAGTGAAAATTTGATATTTTTTCTATATACCTTTATTTCTCTTCTCCAAAAATTTTTCAATACAAATTGTCACTGACAAGCTACTGAATTTTTCCTTCTTTTAGACTCTCTGATAGGAAAATTCTTTAAACGCAGTGACTTTTTGGGGCAAATCATCTGATTTGTCCTTACTACACGTATATTGAAATAATATTCATATTTTTATTTTTCAGAAACGAGGAGAGAAAATCCAAAAAAATTTGGAATAATGAGTAATATTTCAAGTTTTTAACAGTAGGGACACCTGCGTTGTAGGCATCTTTATCATTCTTTTGAAGTAATCAAATATCTGATGTCACTTCTGTCAGTCTAATTATGTGATTTGAATTCAAGAAATTGCGAATTTAGTGGTTGTTTAGTAATTTGAAGAAACAAAGTTGTCAAAGACGAAACATCGTTTCGAGAATCTCAAAACACTATCTTGTAGAACAGAGAAAGTAGCAATGAGCTAGGATGTGCAATATTCGTTTTGTTTCATCTATGCAAATAGAGTAATCAAAATATCAAAATAAAATCGCGAATATTCGTTTTTTTTCGAAAAATCTTTCGAAATTTTTCAAATTTCAAAACGTCATTTTGTATCTCGTATCTCTCCTACTTCCCGACATCCCAATGATGAGACTCGCTTTTGGGATACCCTGTACATATTGAAATTGTTATTGCGCTCATGCTTTTTAGACACACTCCATCAAAGGAATTATCAATCAAACGCATAATTATTTAATAAGTGATCCGCAGATTCTAGAGATTAAAACCTCGAGTGGTACATTCTCTTCGAATGTTTCTTCATCTACAACTTGTTGAGTTGTTGATTGGCGCTTTTTTTTGTTTTATGTGTATGGCGCCAGTGTTTTTGCAATTTATCATTAATCAACGCCTGCTTTTCTTCTTTCTGTTTTTCAGTGGTTGTGTTATTAATGGTTTCGGATTCGGTATTATTGCTAATGGATTGTTCACAGAATATCGCACCATGTTCCAGAGATACGGTTCTTCATTTGGTTACCTATAGTCGCGTTTTTTTGTGATTCTCTGGTGTATAAATTATGTAGGAAGGAATAAAACGGCAAACAATGAAGAATGACATTGATGTGATGACAATCGTGTGACAATCACATATACAATTGAAATGACATAATGATCATCAATAAAAAACATCGAAGTTTAGAGAGGAATATTCGCAGATATAATTATGAACATAAAAAATGGATATACAGGGTGTCCCTAGACCAGTGGGACAGTTGAATATTTTCTGAACCAATAGGAATTTTCAAAATATTATAATTCCACATCATATCGCTTTATGAGTGCTAACTTCAGGAATGACTATATTTTATACGAGGTGCGCAAGAAAGGCTCACAAAATCGAACATAAATTTTTTCAAATGGAACACCCTGTATTCCATTGCATTTTCATATTCTCCTTGAAGAGCTGAGTTCAACGACCTAGCACACTTGGGGTCTACCAAGAATGATTTCCGAGATATAGGGTGTGGAAAATCGAGATTTTTCATTTTTGGGAATTTTTTGTGTCGAAACTATTCATTATTGGTCAAAACGGCTTACATGTCCATATCTTAACTTCTGATTCACTATTCACTCGTATTTAATTGAAACGAATACAGGGTGGTGTAGAATTAACAGTTTCAGTCAGAATTCTACACCACCCTGTATTCGTTTCAATTAAATACGAGTAAATAGTAAATCGAAATTTAAGATATGGACATGTAAGCCGTTTTGACCAATAATGAATAGTTTCGACACAAAAAATTCCCAAAAATGAAAAATCTCGATTTTCCACACCCTATATCTCGGAAATCATTCCTGCTAGACCCCAAGTGTGCTAGGTCGGTGAATACAGCTCTTCAAGGAGAATATGAAAATGCAATGAAATACAGGGTGTTCCATTTGAAAAAATTGATGTTAGATTTTGTGAGTCTTTCTTGCGCACCTCGTATAAAATATAGTCATTCCTGAAGTTAGCACTCATAATGCGATACGATGTGAAATTATAATATTTTGAAAATTTCTATTGGTTCAGGAGATATTCAACTGTCCCACTGGTCTAGGGACACCCTGTATATATAAAGAAATACATTGAGAATTCGCATTCTATATGTGATGAAAATATCAATTCTTTCTCGGTTTATTCAACAGAAAACAACTACTTTCCTATATGCCACGTCAAACATTGAATTACATCTATTTAACATACACGATAAGAAATTGAAAACAAAATCTTCTGAAGTAGAGAGAATTTGCAGACCCATATACCTACGTTTCAACTATACGTTGGGAATGACCTTCTAATAAGTATCAGAGTTGTAGGGTTTCATCTGTACTTCTTCATCTTTTGGAATTTCTCAAACGAACAGATGCGATTCGCAATATAAAAAAAAATCCAAATCATTTTTCAAACTCAACACCATTTCTCTTCTGTTCACAAATATAATATAGTTTGCTGATACGTTTTCGACTAGATTCTTCCTGCACTACTGAGTTTTTGCAATTTTTTAATAATGAAATGTTACTAAATATTCCGTATTTTCCTCTACGGAATAACCAATTCTGATCAAAGAAACCGACAAACAGGTCAAAAAACTTCTGATTTGTTTCCAATTATTTTGTCACCATGGCCATCTAAATATTATTAGGCAATTTTGATTCAATATTGTGAAAGCTAAATGAATGGAAAACAGCTTAACATGGCTTAACAAAACATTAGCAAATTATGCATAATATGTGAACAGAAGAAAGAAAGGTTTCACTATAGTTATAAGATATACAGGGTGTTTCATTCGGAAAACGATTTAAACTACTTTTATTATTTCGCGATTCGCATCTGTTTGTTCGAGGAAGGAAGGAGATAGTACATAATCTACAACCTATCCATATACAGTGTGTCCCGCTTTTCATGAATAAACCCCCTATCCTCTTGAAATTTTAGTGGATTGTATATGTTAGAACAATGGAGTTTTTAGCAGAGTGAATCGTTTCATGCACCATTGGCGTGCAATGTGGAGTGGTACAAAAAATGCCATTAAAATCTCAAGGGAAATTCAAAATCTGGAGGTTATATGCCTCGGGAAACACCTTCTGTGGCAATGTGTTCCAGAGCCTCGCTGTTAGTTGGATGAACCAGTCTGCAGATGTTCTGCAGGTCAACAGAGTCACTTTGCTGTGGGTGCCTGGACACCAGGGGGTGGAGGGTAACGAGAAAGCCGACATCCTCGCCAAACAGGGAACCGAATCTGTGTTCATAGGACCAGAACCATATTTTGGGGTCACCGCAAGTGCGGCGAAAACAACTATCTCGGGCTGGTCGGAGGGAAAAACACTCATGTACTGGTCTGAATTACCAGAATTAATCCATTCGGAGGCGTTCCTGCCTAAACCATCGGAAAAAATAACCAGGCAGATCCTAGAATGGAGCAGGGGTAACCTGCGAATTCTGACTGGACTGCTTACGGGACACTGTCGTCTAAGATACCACCTGGGAAGGATGGGTCTGAACCAACAAACGGACTGTCGGTTCTGTTGTGTGGAAGACGAAACGGCTGAACACATATTATGCTCATGCTCTAGCTTAGAAAGACTAAGGTTCGACACATTTGGCTTTACCAACCTAGAACCTATCGATTTCAGACGAATCTCACCCAATTCAACCATGAACTTTGTAAAAAGATGTGGATTGTACGGTGAACTGTAACCTCTAGGGGTGAGCCACAATAGACCCATCTGGGGTCGCAGTGGAGGGGAGGTGTTCGCCCCACTCACATGGAACCTAACCTAACCTAACCTGTTCTGCAGGTCCCCAAAGTGACCACAAAGGAGTGCGAAGCCTCAACTCGACGGGTTAATCTCGCGGGGACTGCCAAGGGAGGAACAATTCTTGATATTTCAGAAGAACATCGTCCATGAAGATATCTTTGAAAAAGGTCAAGATCACCAACTTTTCTACGGTGTTCCAGAGACGTGAGTGAGTTTGTGAGCGAGGCATCACCCACGAGACGAATTGCCCTTTTTTTGACAGAATCCAACACTTTCAGGTTATGTTTGGGTGCTGCACTCCAAATATGGAAACAGTATTCCAGGACAGGTCGGATCTGTGCCTTATAGATCATAAGTAGCTGACTGGGAGTGAAATTGCTCCTGGCCCGCAACAAAAAAAACGAGTTTCTGGGATGCACTTTCAACAATTGATCTTGATTTTCCCATGAAAGTTTATCTCTGATAGTGATACCAAGCATCGAAGAGGATGTCTTCGAAGGTATGGTTACTGCTGACCAGCTAATGTTGGGCACAGTGAGATCGGCTTTTCTAGATAAAAGGCATGTTTGTGTTTTGTTTGCATTGAAATCAACCAAGTTATTGGATCCCCATTCGAGAATCATTGCCAAGTCCATAATTATGTTGTCGACATTTCTCCCTCGTTCTTTTCTGATTTGCCTGGCTGGTATTGGAGCCCTGGAAGAGAAGGCGGTATGGAGAGTACTATCATCCGCGAAGCTGTGTACTAGACATGAAGTTGCTTTCAACAAATCGGTGATATGGGGTAGAAATAGTGTTGGTGCATATGATAAATATTTTAAAAATTTCCAAAAAAAAAGTTTTAATTTTTTTTTTTTTTTTTTTTTTTCAGAAATCCGGTTGATCCTTTCAGTCGACCGCGACCCCAGCGACCACCAATGTGTTTTTCGGCCGTCCTAGCACCATGTCCCCCAAGGAAAGCAGCCGTCCCCTGTTCCCCGAGGAGGGGTAGCGCGGCAGAAGGAGGAGAAGCAGCGGCGGGTCGCGGCAGGGCGGTCGGCCCCCTCGCCCCCCCCTGCGCCGCCGCACCGTGCCTGCGCCGACTACTATGCGCATTGCGTACTGCGTCCGAGCCCTTATTGCGGTGAGACTTTTTATTTTGACCTTAGATATTAGGGATTTAAAGCCAATACAAAAACTTGCAATTACGTATGGACATAAACGTGAATATAAATACGTACGTATTCAATGAAAAAGTAGCGTTAAAGCTACCGTATGGTACGTACATGTTCTACGTACATACAAGATACAAGACCAGACTCATTTTAACCCTATTTTACTTTTCCATTCGATTATTTTGATTTGTTAGTCTTCGCTTGCTTAGATATTGTTCCAGTGTTGATGCTGCAAACCCATCGTTGCAAAATGGAAGAGATTTTGATATTCGACTTCATGTACTGAATGAAACGACAATTTAGGTAATCGAAGGGAATTATCTAGAGATATCAATTCGAACAATTTATTTGAAATAGAATGTAAAAATCTATTTCGATTTGCGAAAAATGACATTCCACATTCCAAGATTAGCTAGAGCCCTAGGAATACCAGGAAGCTATAAGTTTTCCAGTAATTTACATTATATTCATTTGGATGAGGTTCCAACGGCCCGTGTCTTCGTTGGGATAATGGACTACAACAGTTTCATCTGACTCCCTTACCATAAATGCTGGTGTTCCGCAAGGATCAATTCTAGCACCGACACTATTTCTACTCCATATCAACGATTTGTTGGAAGAAACTTCATGTCCAGTACACAGCTTCGCGGATGATATATTACCCTCCATACCACCGTCTCTTCCAGGGCTCCAATACCAGCCAGACAAATCAGAAACGAACGAGGGAGAAATGTTGACAACATAGATATGGACTTAGCAACAATTCCCGATTGGGGATCTAATAACTTGGTAGATTTCAATGAAACCAAAATACAAGCATGCCTTTTCTCTAGAAAAGCTGATCTCACTGTGCCAAACATAAGCATGTCAGGAGTAACCATACCTTTGAAGACATAGAGATGGCTAGCGGTGCTGGAACCACTGCTATTCAATATTTATAATAATGTGAATAACATACTGCTTACAAGCACTTATTGCAGTGAGACTATTTGACTTTAGATATAGTCCGTTCGAATGACTTGTTTGTCAGAATGTTGCCAAATAGGCGAGATGACTTTCGGGTTCTGTGCCGGGGACAGTGTCATTCAATATTTATAATAATGCGAATAACATACTGCATCCGAGCACTTTTCGATTCGAATAATTTTTCTGTCAGAATGTCACCAATTCAATAGATCTACTATACAGATGACTTGCTGTGTGCCAGTGTGTGCCACAGAGTCCTGTGCTGGAACCACTGCTATTCAATATTTATAATAATGCGAATAACATACTGCATCCAAGCCCTTATTGCAGTGAGACTTTTTGACCTCAGATATTGTCAGTTCGGATGACTTTTTTGTCAAAATGTTGCCAAATATGAATTATTCCAGTTAACAACTCTACGTTCTTGTATTAGCCTGAAAGCTAACCTCTACAGATTGTGTCTCATAGCAAATAAATACCTACACAATTTAGACATTTTCTTCGAAACCTTCTCTAGTTTTGAACGAAAAGAATCAGTTCTAGTTCCATGATTGAGTAGTCATATTATCATTATTACCAATAATGCTTACTGAATGAGATTATCTCCTCAATTTTCTCTATAAGTTTGTCCACATATATCTTTGGGTTTCCTTTATTCTTCTTTGTTCGAATAATTCTAAAGGGTACATGTATAAAGTACATTGTTTTATGTTTGTTAAACTGCTATGTTAATATCTCATAGAAACATTGGGATTTGAGACATTACCGATTTTTCTCATTTTCTTCTTGATTTTAAATTATTCAAAATGTTTCTTACTCACTTGAAAGATTTGTTATTCACTTACTTTTGAGTAGTCTCACGTTAGAGATCATGTAACATGTTAGAAATATGGCATATCTGAAATTTTGATGAAGCTATAATTATTTGAAATCTGTAACTAGATTGATTCTGTTGATTACAAAATAACAAAATAATCAGGCGATATGACTTTTTGTGAGCCACAGGGTCCTGTGCTGGGACCACTGCTATTCATTATTTATATTGATGCGAATAACAAACTGCATCCAAGACCTTATTGTTCTTCCTGTCAGAGTTTTTCATCACTCACGTGCATTCGAATAGACACCCCGTATATCGATAAATAAAGGAGAAATACTGACGTATACGTTTCTAATAGGATTATTGCAGTTTAATTATCATTCTTGATTTGATCGCGATCGATCCAAAATGGAAAACAGGTTCCATTCCAACGACACTAATCCTCTCACATTAAAAAAAAGGAAGAAGAACTGTCGAGAATAACGCGGGAGCATCTTTTTAATCACACTAAAACCCGTGTAAACCGCCAAATTGACAAAGACCACCATGATAATCTGTATTTCTGGTATTATACGGGTTGTTTTTAATTAGAAAACCCATACAACCGACTTATACGGTAAAAGACTCTATCGCTATCTTGATCCAGACATAACCTGTCCAATTAACACCATATAATGATTAGAATTGATAAGTGGGGAGAGGCAGGCTTGTTTTTCTCACTGACAGACAAGAAAAACAAGAGACACTTCATCAGCTCCACTGTCATCTGTTTTTCAGCTCAATGTTTGCGTTCGAATTAGGATTTATATTTTTTCGAGTACCTACCGTTATTCGAGTAATTGCTGTATAATTTTAATCTTGCTAAGAAGAAAACCCGGTGTATTCACTTTTCTCTCAGAAGATAAGAAAGTCTTGTAGTTAGCCCACACACCTTCGTAGTGGCAGTCACGATACTAAGATTAGAACACTGTCTGGTTACTTATGTCCCTGCAACGTTCCTAGTGACTGTTTGCACATTTCTGGTCATATAGTACACCTACTCGCTATTGTGAGCGATAACTTATTCACCAGAGAGTCCGTATCGTAATAATTCCATTAGCACTTATTCTGTTAGTACAGTAAAACGAGGAGGAATTCAGGCAGAGGCACGTGAAAATCTTAACTTGGCAACAAGGCTAGTCATGAATCAAAGAACTCACGACGAGGGCAAATCGTCGGTAAAAATGAAGATCTTGATGAATTCACAGCCTAGGGAACCAACAACCTATTTAGTTGATTTCAACAGCATCAAGCTGTAGGAGGACTTTCCAATTTCTTCCCATTTCCTGAGTTCTTTCTTTAGGTGACATTTGCTTATCCCACAAAAAGGCTCAGGACCAAGAAGTGCAGATGCTGCACCTTTTTTTGCAAGGCGATCAGCTGCCTCATTTCCTTTGATTCCTTCATGCCCTGGAACCAACATATATAAGTGTGACTTTGTTGTCCTTTCCCATTTGCATGAGTGTTTCAAAGCAGTCCCATGTGATCTTTGATGAGCACAATGTGATGGCATACGCGATTTAATGTATAGCCGAAAAACACGATTCGCATGCCAAAATAATTGTGAAAAACTATTGCAATCACTTGTAAACAAATATGAAAAGTGAGGTTGTGTTTCAATGTCTCACTTCCAGGGTCGGTCATCTGACATTTCTTGCACGCAACCCATTCCAACACCTACCTCCTCTTCCTATCCTCCCTAGGTACGCACGATGTTCCACGAACATTATAGAGATTTCCTTTCGTGCGCTCCAACAGATAAAAAAAATAAAAAGCTTACCGCAAAGTCCAAAATGAGGTTTGTCTCAGAAAAACATGTTATCGATGGTTTCCTGATAGTAGCCCGGATTTGGTAGAAATCTTCTGACCAATAAGTGACTTAAAATAATAATAATGATAATAATAATAATAATAAATCGTCTTTATTTGAACAGGTACAAGATAGGCGTAGCTTAGCCAATGGCTGCTCTTACACTTAACCTAGCAAGTACAATATTATACAAAGTTATCAGTAATAAAGCATTATTTGCAAGAAACTAGTTCAGTTAACTACATAACGAAATCATGAAATGAGAAGAACATGAAAAGAAAAATGAAACATGAAAGGAAGAGACATAATCATATATTAGGTACATATTTTGTATAATTCATATTATATATAATAAAATGTGGTCATATTACACTAGGATAATTCAATAAAATCCAATTGTTAAATTACTGAGGGGAGGGGGGTGGGCAAGAAATAATGTTCTAGTGCTTTCCGTATTTGGGCCTTAGAATGATGCATGTAATTGATCAATAGTTTGTTATAAAATTTTACAGATTGGTAGGTGAATGCGATTTCTGAAACATGCTAGTGCTAGTGCTAGTGATTTTATATCTAATGAATGAATTTTACACCTAGCAGTCAATTTCTCATAAAGCGATGTTGGAATTTTGATTTCAATATTTTATAAAGAAAATTACAGAAGTTGTATTTTGATCGATTATTCATTTTGAGTTTGTTTGATACATGGTCATATTTCCGAAGGGAGAAAATAAATCTATACAGCAAAAGTTCTGGATTTTCTGCTTTCTATGTTGATCAAGTTAACTTGACGATGGGGTGCATTTAAAGTAAAACATGCTGTATATTGAATTAGGCTACTAGTATACAGAAGAAGCTTGTTACATGTCATTCACATTTTTTCCAAAAATCTTGTAATTCGACTGCACTATATTATGTACACGACCGGACATAATATAGCATTCCTCGCTGAATTTGCTACCTTATCTGTAATTGTTTGAAAACACGTGTATTCATCCAAGACAAGCCAAGATGTTATTGTAGTTGGATAGAACATAATCAACACTCCCTCGACACGACGATTCTGTTAGTTTTGAATCTGATACTTGCAATCAGATTGCTTCAGGCAACCAGGCAAGAGATGAAAATGTAAGGACATAACGGGAATAGTATATTGTGCAACAAGTGGGGAAAGTTCAACTTTTCTCACGAGTGTGAAAGTTTGTGGCACGAGCCTGAAGGGCGAGTGATGCAAACACACGAGTGTACGCACTTTCCGAAAAAGATTTTATTTCTGTATTTTTTTAGATTCCATAAATGTTTCGTATATGCCTATTCATACTTTTTACTAGAAATTTCCGTAAACAAATCCAACTTTCGCAGCTTTTTCCATTATCTCTGTCTCTGGCGGTGTATTCGTCAAAATCGTCACATTTCGGTATATTTTTGTTTATCGCTTGGAGCGCACGAAAGGGAATCCCTATAATGTTCAAAGAACATCGTTCGTTCCTAGGTAGGATAGGGACAGGAGGTAGGTATTGGATTTTTTTTTGAACTTCTGGAGATTATATGTTGTTGGGAATACTTCCACAGGCAATGAATTCCAGAGCCTAGCCGTTCTATGGATGAAGGAGTCTTGATAAAGTGCTGTTCGACATCTTTCGAGGTTGACAACGAAAGGATGTGCTGACTGGGCTTGTCTGGTTCGTCTGATTGGTATTGCTAGTAAAGGGATGATAACAGAGATTTCCGAAGAACATTTCCCGTGGAAGTATCGATAGAAAAGTGAAAGGTCGCCGACCTTTCTACGGTGTTCCAATGATGTCAAAGAGTGAGTGAGTGTGGCGTCACCCACCAGGCGAATGGCTCTTCTCTGGATGGAATCTAAGAGCATCAGCGTATGTTTTGGAGCTGAACCCCATATGTGGGAACAGTATTCTAGAACAGGCCGTATCTGCGCTTTGTAGATCATGAGAAGCTGTTGAGGTGTAAAGTAGCTTTTCGCACGGAACAAGAATCCGAGTTTTTGTGAAGCAGCTTTTGCGATGGATCTGACATGATTATCCCATGAAAGAGTGTTGCTGATGGAAATACCGAGTATAGATATGGTGGGCTTGGTGGGTATGGTGGAGCCAGACATTAAAATATCGGGCATATACTGAGTTCCATCATATTATTTATTATGAATTGTTGGAATAATATTTTTCATACCAGTAGTAGAAAAAAATAATTTTCTGGTACGATGAAATCGATTGGATAAATAATTTGAGCGCCATATACGTATGTATCAAAATCATGATACTAAAGAAACTAATCCTAAAATAGGCAGGAGAATATAATGTTATGTAAATATTATAAGTGTCAACATGAAGAACATGATAGATATCTTACAATTATAGTTATACTTACGGTATAAGACTTTATTTAAGCCAGGATTAAACTTCCAACATGTGACCACATTCTTTATCCCAGTGTAGTAGTATATGAGACGATCACGTGGGATTAGTGATGAGTCATAATTTGTTTGATAATTTTTCTTCTGATTGGGAAACACTCGAATAATTTGATAACCATCAGATGCTACAGAAATATTTGGTATAAGTAATTGTGAAATATCAATAAGAATAAAAAATAAATCAGAATTTATCTGATTAATATTATTGAGAATGATCTACAGAAGACAGATTTGGCATGTTTTAGAATAATGTTTCAACAAATGGAGTTCAGACCCAAACATACGCGGATGATCTTATAGGTTCCATTCGCCTGGTAGGTGATGCCACACTCACCAATTCTATAAGATCTACGGAACACCGTAGAAAAGTCGGCGACTTTTCACTTTTCGAAGGATATTTCCACGGAAAATGTCACCAGTCAGACAAACTCGACAAACCCACTCAGCAAATCCCTTCGTTGTTATAACCTTGAGATATGTCGAACAACTCTTTACCATAACTAAGTTTGTCTAAAGCCCAACGAAGTATTTTCAAAAACCAATAACATCGAAAAAAAATCAAAATTTTATGAATCTTCTTAATTGGCACGCCACTGTCATCCTTATGCAGCTCGGCAGTTGAAAGGGGCCCATAAATTGTTCGATTATCTGTAATGGTCGAGCAGTAATATATTTTACGTGAGAGATTTACAATAAAGTTATATAGACACCTATTTTACATTTCTACGACTTAATTTCGGTTAACCCACCAATTCAACCAAAGATCAAACGAACCGATCAATATTTTCGAAATATTTGTTGCACCAACGGAATTATCATGGTCGATATTTTTTTGTTGAATTGGATTCATAACTTAGGAGGAGAACAATTGGGAAAAAACAACACTTCTCCGAGAAATTAAGGCATCTCCAAAAAGTAGCCAAAAGTTCAGGAAACGTGTTCGTCCAAAGTAATTGTCCAGTTGTTTCGACTTTTTTGGTTTTGAATGTTCTGTATCCATTAATCATGAAATAAATGGTATTTCCATCCATCTTCAATAATCATGTTGTTTGCTGTTTTAAGTGATAAAACCTACGCAATCATAGATCAAAAATCAATTGACGAGTGAGTGCTAAATAATATGAGACCAAAAGAGTATTGGTGCTAACAAAAAAAGATCAGTAGCACCAAACAAAATGGAAAAGCTTATGTTACATTGTCAATTAACACATTCTAAGTGCTGTGGGAAAATATGATTTTCTACTGAAATATCACCGAAGTAATCGATTATTTAAGGAAATTGCGGTCAATACAAGGTGTTCAATAGAGACTCGCCCGTTAATTTTGATGAACATGGGAATTGTGAAATTTTTTTTTTTTTTAGGTGCTTGGTCTAGCCGCTGTTGTTCGCCCAGTAGCATCTAACGAGTATTTCAACGATACCTTTTACGAAGTACATCGCGTGAGACGAAGTTCTAGAAGGAAACATATACCAGAAGAAGGAAGGTAAACAAAAACACATTCTCTAAGGTCATAGATTCCAATAGAATCTGTTTATGTTCTTGTAAACAATCTTCTAACGTTCTTATCGATTGGCCTACATAAGTTGAAAAAAATTAGGGAGAGCAATTCGGGAAATACAATTTTAGGTGATATCACAAGGGATGTGAGAAGGGATGTGATTCTTGTTTCCTTGTTTAAAGAAATGGGAATTGTTTAATCCTCTACCGTGTGAGCATTCATTCAATTTTAGTCATAGAGTGAAGAATAATATGAACATAGCATCGTTCCAGAAACATCAACATGAATCATTCAACCGTATTGTATCGGTATAATATAATCGATCAAAATGGTATTTCAACAGAACCGTAATTTAATGGAGCATCAGTCATTCATCTGAATGTGAAACATCATGTATAGTGAAATGAAGAAAGGTACTCTGTAGAAATGTGCCGTAATTTGTAGGTATGGCAATTCATCATAACCGTATTCCATCAAAATTATAGTTAATCAGAATTTCGTCAGACCCTGACGAAAGGGTATTTCAACAAAACCGTATTTCAACAGGAAGACAATTCATCAGAACCGTATTGCATTGAGATAGTGATTTGCCAGAATCGTATCTTGTCGGAATGGTAATATATATAGCCGAAAATAATCATTATGGTAAATAAACTGTAAATCATCTGATCTGTATTTCACAAGAACCGTAATTCATTGGAACTGTAATTCATATAGGAACATTATTGCAGCAGAATGGTATTTTGTAAGAATGGTACAATATCGAAATCACAAAGGATGACAATGTATCAGAGCATGGTATTGACATTATAAAGAAGTTTTCTGAAATTTTCTCATTCTTTATATTTATGAAATATATACCTATGGTTTTGATGAATTACTGTCGCTATGAAATATGGTTCCGACAAACTAATGTCGCGATGGAATGCAGTTCCTATGAAACATGGTTTTGATTAAAAATACTTTTCTGATGTTTTACTGCGTTTTTTATTGATCTCTGTCGTTCATAATCCAATAAGTTTCCTATTTTGATACCATTCTGATGAATTTCATTATAACTATTTACGTTTCGTTATTATATACATTCTTCCGGAATACGGTCCTATGTTTTATTATATGTATTACCAATTCGATGAAATATTTTCCTATGGATTATATTTATATACTTCATAATCCGACGTTTTAGTTATCCATCAAATGAATTCCTTTCAAATTGGCAATTGTTCGAATGTTGAGTTAAATATTAGGTACCTCCAAAAGTATGAAATAAATTTCAACACCTAGCCCCTGTCCCTATCCTCCCTAGGTTTATAGGAATTCCTTTTCGTGCGATGCAGAAGATTTTAAAAAACAAGAATTAGATTGTTCCTTATTTTGTAATCATTTTTTCAACTCCAAGTAAGTCAAACACAAATTAGATAATTCTGTCACTCCAACTTTTATTTTGTTTTTGTATTCTAGAACTTTCAATTAGGCTGAAGATGGTCTTTTATAAGACCGAAACATGCTCCTTATGATTATGTAACAGCATCATTAAAATATGCGGAGATGACTTCGAGCATTCCTTCCTTCCTTTGATTCAGTATTTATGTTAACTGAATTTATTTTTGTATTTAGTGCCATACAGAACGGCTTCATGGAGGACCAAGAGATGGATAAGAGATTCCACCATAGGAATTCGAGGAAATCGCACCTTTTGGACCCTGAAGATTCAGGAAATAGGACTGTAGATTGTTGCCCCACAGTGTTGGAAATGATCGAGCCTTTGGGGGGCTCCAATCAAGAGGGGCTGTTAGTGGAGCTCTACAGAGACGAGAATTACATACAGAGGTGAACATTAAAAATTTTAAAAATTCAGAACTTTGTCTGAAAAAGGATATAAAATTTAAACAATTTGAAAAATATTTCCTTCGAAAATTCAAGAAATTCAGAATATACGGTGTGTTTTTGAAATAAGTACATATATTCAGCACACCGATATGATACAGTCTAAGGAATTCATCCATGACACCAGATTTATTCACCAGAATTCTTCGAAAAATTCCAACCCGAAAATTGAACAGAAAACGAGAAAAAAAATCAAGTACGCCAGTTTGAAACAATTTAAATGATTGAACTCCGCGTGATTGTTCTTTTCGCACGAAAATTTTAACACAGGTGGAGTCAGAATTGCTACAGTGTAGAGGTTTGGGTGAAAAAGGGGTCTAACCTCGAATTTTATTTTGATCCTTATATTTTTTTATTAGTGCCATTCCATAGTATATGTCGAGCTTTCTCAGGGTTTGAAATATTTGCACTTATTTCAATGCCACCCTGTATATAAATGGAAATATCAAACATTGAGAGAAATATATCAGTGTCAAGAAACTTTCAATTTGAAACCTTTAAAATTTGAGAAATTTGAGAATTTTAAAATGGTAAAAATTAAATTTTATTATTCAAGAATTTTTCGAAATTAGAATTGAGAAAAATCAACTGTTGAATTTTAATAGTGCTAGTGATGTGTTTTCATTTGACTCAATAGTTATCTCAGTCAATAATCGTCTTACAACCACTTTTAAATTGGCGAAGGTGAGGTATTTTGTGCATTCAGAATCTATCATTAGAAAATGCAAAATAGCATCTTAAACCTAAAATTTTTACATAAACTGCTATTTCTTAATCGGAACACCCAGTATTTTATTTTCCTAATCGGTAGAGCTTTTTCTTCTGATTTCAAATATACAGGGTGATTCACATAAGAACCGACATAGAGCAGGGGCATGTAGGGGGTCCCAAAATATGGCAATTTAACGCAACTTACCTCTATACCAAGTTGCTTCCCTAAGGAGATAAAGGCTTTGAAAGTGAAGTTATAAATTTTGAAAAAAATCAATATCTCCGTTATTCTTGAACTTAAAGCAACCAAATTTGGTACACTTTGTGGATGTATTCAGGGCGTTACTTGACAGTAACTAGAGTTCAATTGAAATTTGTAAAGTGGGTATACCGGGTGGCGCACCATTAATATTCAACATAATTTTGTTAACACTTGATGGATTTCAAAAATCTTTGCTTTGTTTTGTGGGCAATTCAATTCTAAAACTTTTCTTACTCTAGTAATTTTTCGAAAAACCTCATCATTTTCATAAAAAACTCGAATAACTGAAAACGCGCGCTCTAGGTGTGTTATTCAAAATCATCGAAAATTCAAAAGTTGGCTATGAAAATAAAGGTCAAACTTGACAATGAGGCAAGTGAGTTGTTCAATCAAGTAATTGTTGTTTGAGTGTTTTTCAAAATGAACGGGAAGTTTTCTTTTAACGAGCAAGTTGACATGCTGTTAGTGCTATGCCTCCTTAGGGAAGCAACTTGGTATAGAGGTAAGTTGCGTTAAATTGCCATATTTTGGGACCCCCTACATGCCCCTGCCTTATGTCGGTTGTTATGTGAATCACCCTGTATATACACTTTATTGAGGTTATCATTGTCAGTTTTCGAAAAATATATAGATTCTGTAGCAGCCTGCCTTAGATCTATACCAAAAAATCTATATTTTTCAAAAACTGACAAAAGATGGTCTCAAGTATATACAGGGTCGCTGATATGTATGGAATCAGGTGAATATTTCGGTAACCTGTAGTTGGATTTTCTTGAATTTATGTACTGTGTGATTTCGAAACGTGGCGGATTTGGAAATGTTATAGCCAATGTTGCCACTCTCTCAGTTATTCCGGATTTTTTATTAACTTCCTTATTTTGAATAGAACACCCTGTACTTTATTGGATTTTCAAATCCTCCTTGAAGAGCTGATTTCAACGATCTATCACACTTGGGGTCGAGCGAGAATGATTACATAGGTATAGGGTGTTTAAACTCTAGATTTTTCAACTTTAGGATTTGTGCCGAAACTATTCATTTTCGAACAAATGTTCGAATGTTCCTTTATTCACTTTCGATTTACTATCTAGTGACATTTAATTGAAACAAATACAGGGTGGTTCAAGACTCCGAATTCTGATCACCTCCTGTATCTGTTCCAATTAAATGTCAGTAGATAGTAAATCAAAAGTGAAGATAGGAATATGGGAGTGGTTTTGATCGATAATAGGTAGATATAGTTTCGACAGAAAAAAATCCTAATTCCTAATTCCCGCTAGACCCCACGTGTGATAGATCGATGGAATCAGCTCTTCAAGGAGAATCTGAAAAACCTAATGAAGTACAGGGTGTTCCATTCTAAATGAGGAAGTTACAAAAAATCTGGAATAACTGAAAAAGTGGCAACATTGGCTATAAGATTTTCAATTTCAGAAAATTCTATTCAAAAATGATATCAATTCAATAATTTTACTGGTAAGAATTTGAATTCGAAATTTTGGAAACTGATATACTTCAATGATGCAAAAATTTTAAAGAATTTGAATGCAAAACTTCGAAGAAATCCGAAATATTGAAAAAAATGTTGAGACATTACAATCTGAAAGTTGAAGAAATAAAAAAAACAAGAATTAAGATGATCTGAAATTGAAAAAAAAACAATATTCAATAATTCGAAACATTGAAGCATTTGAAAATTCAAATATTTCTCGGGGTCCAATAAGGTTCAGACATTCAAGGTGAATAAAATTGGAGAAACAAAAAACTTGAAAGCTCAGAAAAATTCAAATCATTTATTTTATATTTTTCAGTGAAAGACTCGAAAGTTTCAAATCCCATTTTTACAGGTTCTACGAATACTCGTGCCAACACAGCGTAGTCGACAAGCCCTGCAAGTTCATCAACAAAAAACTCCACGCGCAATCGCGCTGCGTGCAGCGCCACAGCTTCTCCTACGCCCTGGTCAAAAACACCCCCAGCCACCGCAACAAAAACTTCCCCACTTTCCCCGCCCACGGAAACGGGGGCGCAACATACACCCTCGACTACATCAAAGTGCGCAGCGGATGCAGTTGCGTCGTCGTCAACAAAAACAAGAAGAGGAAGAACACGAGGAAGCAGCACGCGAAGACTTGAAAGTGACGCTTGACAGTGACACTTGACAGTGACACTCGACACTTGACAGTGCGGACCTCGTTAATTTATTGTTTCATGCCAAAGGTGCAGTGTGTTTCGTGTTGGGCTGTTTACCGCCATCACTGACATAAACTGCTATATTATTTAGACCGTAAGAAAGAAGGTGAGCCACTGATGCACATTTAGGACCTGTCATATATCTTGAGGTTAGTTTTCTGTAGGGTCCCTCGATGTAAATTGACGTCCCAATCAGCACCAGACATCTTAAAGACGTACATTTTACGACTTACTTACGTCTTTACGTCCGGGGACGTATAAAGTACGTCTTTAAGATGTAAATCCATGTACATCTTAAAGACGTACACGAATTTACGTCTTTAAGACGTACATTTTAGGTCGTATCCACGTTGTTCCTCCCATGTCGTATAAAAGACGTCTTAAAGACGTACATTCCAGTACGTCGATTCGACTTATAGAACAATAATGTAAGTTATTTTCTGAAGAGAAACAAAATGTCATCTCTTCACGTTTTTTATTTTCAATCTTTCAGTTTTTTCTTATTTTCAACAAAAGTGATGTTTTTGAATTTTTTCGTCCGACATTTTGGAGCCTTCGTGTTAGATTCTCGAATTTTTACAAAAAAAATCATATTCTCCGACCCCAAAAGTCCCATAGTAATCAATTTTTGAATAAAATCGGACTATAATCACAAAACTCGTCCGCCATTTTGAAGCCGACATCTTGGATTTTTCATTTTCGACAAAAGGAATTATAATCTCTGATCCCGAAATCCTTCAGATGCCAATTTTGAATCAGATCAGACCATAATCAGAAAACCATATGCCACATTGGATTCACCATCTTGAATATTGAATTTTTGATTCGAATCGGAACATAATCAATGAGAAAATGGTCCGCCATATTGGATCCGCCATTCTGTTTTTTCCATTCAATAATAATATCACAACGAATTGTCACCGGAATAATATTTACTTGCCAAATTTCAAATCAATCGGACGATTTAAAGTGAGTCAAATTTAACTTGCACGTTTTGATTACAAACAGACACAAGGAAATGTTAAACTAAGTAAAAGCTTGTTATGTGATATATGGAACAAACAGAGTAACAGAAGAAGTGAGTATGGTATAATCATCGAAGTCAAGCAACAAAGAGCGCGGTTAGTACTTGAATGGGTGACCGCTTGTGTCTACCGTTTGATGAAGTCGTTTATTTCCCTTTTTTGTTGCTTGTCTGCACTTGTTGCTAACTTCAGTGCACAGGTGAAAATTAACTGAAACTATGTGATTTTTCCGTAATTTGAAAGATCAATTTGAGGTCATGGACCAAAAACACCTAAAAAAGACGTCTTAAAGACGTACATATTAGTGGAAAATGTACGTTTTAAAGACGTCTTAAAGACGTCTCTTGGGCGTAATATGTACGTCTTTAAGACGTACTCATGTCCCGACATGTACGTCTTAAAGACGCCTTTAAGACGTACTTTGGCTGATTGGGGTATTTGTCATCTTAGATGTTTGCTTCAAGGGACCCTAGTTTTCTGCTAGGCGTTTTGGCTTTGGCGATGCTTGCGATGGAACGTGTGTGATGTTATCATTGGTCAATGGCAACTAACCAATTCGAATTAACCAATAATATCATCATCACTTTTCATCGCTAGCATCGTCAAAGCCGAAGCTCAGTTTTCTGCTAGTCGATTTTGGTTTTGGCGATGCTATAGCGATCTTTTCGAACATCATCAAGAGCCATAAGACTCGATCGATGTCATAAACGACAGTTTGGGAGAGATTTTCGGGTTGCTTCTTCTTCCTTTCTTCCAGCTCTTCATTCTTTCCCAGATAACACCTTGAATTATTGACTCAGAAGTGCTACAGGGGAGCAAATTTCATCCAAAAGTTTGTAGTTCGCGGTCAGATACTTGGGAAGTGCTCGAAAAACTCATCCTCCTTGATACAGATTTGCAAGCGCATATACGTTGGTGGCTGAGCGCTCCCATCGATGGTGCATTGAAATTTCTTGCCGCTGTGTCAATAATTTAATCGCCGGTAATGTGTCTTACGGCCGGCTGACGGCCGCTTGGACACCTAAACGCTGGGAAAGTACATGAACTGCCAGTAGAGGTGTGCGTTACAAATGCTGGGCCGATGGTTGGTGTTATCTGCGTTATTTCCATGTTCTGCAGAGAGATAGCTTGCCATCTTGCAAGTCTGGCTTTGTAATCATACACTCCTCTGGTTAGATTATTCCTCTTATTCAAGGTAGCTTTTTCATCATGTACCTAATTATATTATCATTGGACTTATTTAGATAACATAAGGACGTCGTTTGTCCACAACCATGCCCGGAATGCTAGTCTGACATGTCTTGTCCATCTTTGTTCTGACTTTGTCCATGAAATTCGATCGTCTGTTGTCCCTTGATTCATCCCTTGCTAAATCTCATCCAAATCGCTAAGCCTGAAAAAGCTTCTGCTGAATGAACATGAACTCTCAAACTGTCGCTTATGACATCGAGTCATGTCTCTTGGTGTTCAGCAACATACATCGTGAGTAAAAGTGAGTCAGATATATGACAGGTCATGAATATTGGACCAAGCTCGATCTCGTAAATTAATGAGCTTTAATCTTGTGGCATTAGCAGTCTAGTTGGTAATTTATGTCAGTGTTTATCACTCGGAGAACTGTGTGTGTGTGTCGTCAATAAGAGTGAGAAGAGGAAGAGGAAGTACACGAGCAAGCAACAAGCGGAAACTTGAATCTAGCACTTTTGACAGTGCAGACTTCAGTAATTTATTGTTCAATGCCAAAGGTGATGTGTGTTTCGAGTTTTTGGAAAACTATTTGTTGAGATGAGGTGGTCGGCAAGAACACAAATACGTGAATTCAATTTGTATATGCATGAATTCAGTACGTAGTATTATTACATAAATGCATCAATGTTTTGAGAAATAATGTAATGAAACTATTTTTGAATACCCAACCTATATAGCACGAGTGCGTCCCCAAAACGTACTGAGATCGTCCTGCCAAGACGTTTTGTACGTGCTGGGAACGTCCAAATTAGGACCGTAGACGTACTAGGTACGTACTTTGGACGTCCACATTCCGCGCATTTGTACATCCCCCGTACGTCCATTCAGAACCATGGATACCTGAATCAACGTAGATCCGCTTTATTTACTCAGATAATTACAAAAAAAGTTCTAGACAGAGTAGAAAACGATAGATCTCGCGACCTTTAGATATAACCGGGCAGTAATAATAGGTAGGGCAGATGCTCTACCTATTACTCTACAGTGTATTTCAAAAGTATCGGAACGGTCTCATATTTCAGGAACGGCTTGAGAAAAATTCACGAAATTTTCTACCGGGTGATTATCGATGATGTCCGATTCAATGGTGGTATCGGCAATGTTGCCAAGTTTACAGTTTTTCAGATATTAGGAGTAACTTTATTTTTTCAAAAGGAATACCCCATTTATTTTTATTGCAATTAGTTAAGCGCCTCCTAATTACTTGAGTCCCTGAATATCAGATTCGTAATTAACGTGATTTTCGAAATATGACAACATAGCTTTTTCGTTAAAAAGTTCTTAAACGGTCCCATATTTCAGAAACGGCTCAGAGAAAATGTATGAAAACTTCGATAGGATGGTTGTTGATGATGCCCGATTCATTGGTGATATCGGCAATGTTGCCAAATCAACAGTTTTTCAGATATTTAGGGTAACTCAATGTTTTCAAATGGAAGCACTTTTCAAGTATCTGACCGCGAACTACAAACTATAAGTGGGAAAGTGCGTTTTTACTGTCATTTAATAATGATAATAATAATATTCGAGTTTATTTTGAAGTACTGCCAAACCACTCGTTTCAAGTGTCTTGAATTTCAATAGTCGGCCGTTGTTTCTCAAGTAGATCGGTGTTATCTTGTCAATGTTTGATTTGATCCAACTGTGAACTGTCGAGATGATTCGATTGATGTACAGTAAATGTCACCAACATAGCTACGTTACTATTGTGACGTCAGTACCGCTGACGATTTTCCTTCGTGTCCGAACGGCAGCGTTTCTTTGGAAATTTATTGTGGGAAATCTAGAAGAAATGTTTTGTGTTTTTTCTCACAGTGATGAACGTCATACTATGTTTTCTAGAAATTTGTGTTCTTGCTTATCAAATCCACTGAATTGTATAAGCACTGGAATTAGAAATACCTACCAGATACTGTTTCTGAAAGCATTTTTGCAGTTTCCCAGGCATTCCATCATTTGGCGAAAGTGTTTTCCTCGTTAACTTTAAGTAGGTATTATTAGGAGTGCGAGCATTATGTTTCTAGTCGGACTGACGAATACGAATGATATCAATGGTATGTGTAAGACACTGACAATGATGTAAGACTTGATTACCTTTAACTTTTGTAGATAATTATTGAAATACGATTTATATTGTGTCGAAGATTCTTACTAATTTGTAACGCCATCTCTGGAGAAACATCTGGAATTCGAAATGTAAAATCTGTTTTATCAAAATCCGATGAAAATTAACCAAGCGGGGTGTGAGTGTGACGTTTTCACTGTTGTCAGTCAACACACCCTTGTACTTACAGCCATCTTGCTTGGAGCATTCACATTAATTCAAATGCATCACTTCTAAACATCGATAATTGAATTTTTTGTGTTAATTTTTGGAAATTCACATTAAATATCATTGAGTTAGTACTATATTTTATCGAAATGGATATCGATCTTTGCTATATGGTTATTATACTCTGTATATGTATTGTAAGTAGGTATAATATATGGTTACCCCCAAAAGTACTGAACTGGTATTGTAAATAAAATATTATATACTAAAATAATCTTAAGGAAAATGTAAGATGATGTGTAAATATTTGTTTGATAGGTATATCTATTTATTATCACTCGATTTGTATTTTTTATATTTATTTTTATAAATTTTTGTATCAATAATATATCGATTTTCAATTTTTATTACTTAATTCTCAGTGATTGTTATAAATTTCTGTGTTATGAATAACAAATTTACTTGAGCTCTCAGTGATTTTAAGACATATGAAAAGAAACCACAAATTATTTTTTGTTCAAAAAATGGGATGTATGTATTATCTCTTCAATTATTCTACATTAACAAAAATGCTAATATATGTACCCTCCTGATACAATTGAGATTTATTGAATTTCCTCAGCCATATCATATTTCAATTCCTCAGTTAATTATCAACAATTCTATTGGGAATTTGTAATTTTTTTCAAATTGAAGTTTTCTGAAACTCGTGAAATATTCAAAATCAAAAATACAATATATTTCCAAAGAATGTTTAGTAGTTATCCTATTCAAGCATCACATCATCGAATTTATCAATTTCAAAACGCCGATTTTCGAAATTTTTCGGATTTTCAATATTTTTCGAATTTTCAAAATATTTCCAATCATTAGAATAACAAATAATTTTACAGATTTCTCGATTTTTAAAAATTTTACAATCACTCTTTCTAGTTTTGAATTTTCCAAAAAAGATTTCATAAAAAATTGTACCTACAAGATTTTTGAACAATTCTGGTGTTTCAATCAAAAATGAAAACGTTTTAAATTTTCAAAATTTTCAATATGCAAAACCTTTCAGATGGAATTTTCAACATTTTAAAATTTCGAAAGGTAGAGAAGAGTTCAATTGAGGTCTTTTATAACTTGAACGAGAGAAAGTTCTCTCCTCTTCCATCTCTCTCTGCAATGCTACCAACGTGGCCGCATTGAAATGTAGAGAGGTCCGATAAATCTTTTTGTAGAATTTTCAATTACAATTTCTTTCCAATAGCTAAAAGCAGATTACTGTTACTTACAGGTACCTACGCACTCATGATGACTTAGCAGTCGAAAGCGCTCTGCTACGAATATTTTGAATAAATTTCTTGCATGAAATACAAAACTTCCCCTTCTTTGGTGTATATGCACGTGCACACAGCCCAGCAACCCTCATTCTTTGGTAAATCTTTCCTGGTCTAACCTCTATAGTCTGCGCCACTGAACTATTTTCGATATTATAATGACGTGTTATGTCTTTCATGAATATCATCACTGACTGATGACATTTCGAATTCTTAGAATGAAATTTCGATTTATATCATACTTATTTTGACATAATTTGTTAATATCGTTGAATTTGACACTCTGCTGGATTGAAAACTAGGGTCCCTTGATGGATATTGACGTTAAAGTCATCTTAACAGGCTACGGACAGATCATAGCTGCATTCTTTTTTAATGATCTAGGGACTTTGGTTTTGTCTACTGGCATCCCTGACATTGCTGTCACGTCACATCCATGGGCGCTACAGAAAATCATTCAAAATTCTAATAATAGGTATGTACAGGGTATTAACTTGTTGAGGAAGATCATATGGCGAACGAGTTTTGTAATTATGATCCGATTTTATCAAAATTGGTATCTGGGGGTTTACGGGGTAGGAGATAATGATTGTTTCGTCAAGATTTGAGAATTCAATAAATTATTCGAAGATGACTTTTTATTTAAGGGAGACGGAAAAGTCATAAGTATATTCTATTCTTTATTTTCCTGCACTTTTCACGTAGTACTTTTTATCAGTCTACTTTTCGTCTCAGACGAAGTTTTATACATAGTGTGATATTAGTCAGTCCATAAATTCTTCTCCGAATTGGATTTACGAAAATATATTCAGCACACAGGTACAGTAATTCAGATACCCCCAAGCTCAGCTCATTCAGCTCACAGATTAACATCTGCTCAGCTTGAAATCAGAATTCATTTAGTCAATTCAGTCAACCGCTGGTATACAGTCTGGGAACAGTCTCTTTTGGTGGGATATATTGAGCTTTTAGTACAATTTATATGTTCCCTACTTCGCAAAGATTATGCTGGAGTAGTGAACTATGAAACTAGAGGATTGTTCATCTATATCTTGGTATAGTTGAATCAGGAATTCCATATGAAAATCACGTATGATACGCCAGTGACCTCAATATAACCTAAAAAACAACGAATGTCAAAAATCTAGTGTTTATCCCCAGAATTGAATAAGGATGGAACTATATAACTGTCTCACAAACGCTTTAGAGTGAGGAGACGAGGATCTGTCCGTACCCTGTTAAGATGACTTTAACGTCAATTTCCATCAAGGGACCCTATTGAAAACTAGTTCAGCGGCACAGAGTAGATGTTAGACAAGGAAAGATTTATCGGACCTCTCTATATGTCAATGCGGCCACGTTGGTAGCATTGCAGAGAGAGATGGAAGAGGAAAGTTCTGTCCTTTCCCATCTTTCTCTTCAATGCTACCACCGTGGCCGAACTGGAATATGGAGAGGTCCGATAAATCTTTCTTTGTCTAACATCTACTTTATGCCACTGAACTATTTTTGACTTCAGTCAAAGTTTACAGAATTTTCAGTAGTGTCAAATTTAACGATATTAACAGATGATGTCAAAATAAATATGATCTAATTTGAGATTTCATTTCAAAAATTCTAAATGTTATCAGTCAACGACATTCATGACATTGACATGTCAAACCATTATCACATCGAAAACTGTTTAGTGTAGGGTCCCTTGATGTAAATTGACTTAACAGGGTACGGACAGATCCTCGTCTTCTCTCACTCTAAAGTCGTGAAATATTAATTTCTGGGGATGAACACTAGATTTCTGACATTTGTTGTTTTTTAGGTTATATTGAGGACATTGGCGTATCATACGTAATTTCCACAAGTAATTTCTCATTCAACTCTACATAATTGTATTCAAATGATGATGATAATTTTCGAGTTTTTGATTTTTCAACTCCAGCATAATCTTTGTGAGGCAGTGAGCAAATTTTTCTGAAAGTTCAATACGTTTTACCAAATGGAAATGTTAGGCAGTACCTATCAATAAATGAATTTTGAAAACAAAATGTTGTAAGATCTCTTCCAACGCCTATGAATGTGATGTGACAGCAATGTCATGTCAGGGACGCCAATACACGAAACCAAAGTCACTAGATAAATAAAAGAGAAAGGTACGAAAGCGTAGAAGCGCCACATGATATATTTTTTTAATAATTGACAGATATAACTGTCAACTAGCCTAATTGACAGATACTAAGTCGTAAGTAGTATACTTGACAGATACTAAGTCGTAAGTAGCATACTTGACAGATACTAAGTGGTAAGTAGTATACTTGACAGATACTAAGTCGTAAGTAGCATACTTGACAGATACTAAGTGGTAAGTAGTATACTTGACAGATACTAAGTGGTAAGTACTATACTTGACAGATACTAAGTCGTAAGTAGCATATTTGACAGATACTAAGTCGTAAGTAGCATACTTGACAGATACTAAGTGGTAAGTAGTATACTTGACAGATACTAAGTCGTAAGTAGCATATTTGACAGATACTAAGTGGTAGGTAGTATTCTTGACAGATACTAAGTCGTAAGTAGCATACTTGACAGATACTAATTATTATAGAACAGTCACGAAAGCTTCCCCTTGTTATAATATGTACATTACTTCTAATGGAAGCACACCTGTATCATATGTAATTGTTGAGTAAGGATCCTGAAATTTGCAGGAGCGAGAAATATACCAAAAATACACTCTATGACCAAGTGGGGTCATTTTCAGTGATTTACACTGCTCGCCAACAGCCATGGAACCACTCACATTTCTGGAAAATGATATTAGGAGGCGAGATAGGTTGTAAATCACTTCGGATTCGGAATCAGGACGTTAAATTTACTAACTATTCATATATTACGTTAATTATAGAGGTCTCTGATGTCTGATATCTGACGGCCTGAAATAGTTGATACAATGATTGATATGGTATGAAAAATTAGTAGAGTATCACTATATTAGATTTGAACTCACTACTATCGCTATCGGTGTTGTCGGCAATAGTGGCTGGTGCTGGCACTGCTGTGGTAGTCTCATAGTCATAGATAAACAAAATAAATGTATTTTCAATTTGTCTATGGGTAGTCTTGTACATAGATGTCTTGTGAGAGTTGTGGGTGCTCTCACGACATCTCATGAGGTCATAATGGAAACCGCGAAAAAAACCGGCAAAGGAAACTTTGATAAGGTCAGAAATGATTTAATTCTTCTTCTCTTGTTCAGAATCGACAAAACGAGTGCACCCAGGGACATATACATTTAGTATCTGTCAATTAGACTAGTTGACACTTAAGTATCTGTCAAGTATACTAGTTACCACTTAGTATCTGTCATGTATGCTACTTACGACTTAGTATCTGTCAAGTATACTACTTACCACTTAGTATCTGTCAATTATGCTACTTACGACTTAGTATCTGTCAAGTATACTACTTACCACTTAGTATCTGTCAAGTATGCTACTTACGACGTAGTATCTGTCAAGTATATTACTTACCACTTAGTATCTGTCAAGTATGCTACTTACAACTTAGTATCTGTCAAGTATACTACTTAACACTTAGTATCTGTCAAGTAAGCTACTTACGACTTAGTATCTGTCAAGTATACTACTTACGACTTAGTATCTGTCAATTAGGCTAGTTGACAGTTATATCTGTCAATTATTAAAGAAATATATCATGTGGCGCTTCTACGCTTTCGTAGAAAGGAGCTATGATCTGCAATGAACTCAATATAGTAGTTTATATTGAGTTCATTGATGATCTGTACATACCATGTCAGATGACAAATACGTCAGTTTGCATTGGTTTGCATCAAGGGGCAGTAGTTTAGTGGTGCATACTAGATGTTGACAAGGAAAGATTTATCGGACCTCTCTATATTTCAATGCGGTCACGTTGGTAGCATTGAAGAGAGACGGAAGAAGAGAGAACTTGCCTCTCTCTCGTTCCAGGTAGAAAGAACTCTATTGAGGGAATTTTCAGGAGGATATTGAAATAAAAACGCATCAATCGAAAAACTCTCATCTTTATTTAATCATAGTCACATCCTAAACCCTATTTCTTGGCTGCAGCAGCCTCGTCTTCTCTCTGGTAATTAGCCAGCACCTCCTGCTTCTTGGTAGCGATCCTTTCTTCCCTGCGCTCCCTGGCCTGCTTCACCTTCAATCTCCTGGCGTTAGCCTGGTCAGACAGCATCTTGGCCCTGGCCTTCTCTGCCTTCTTCTTGTGGATGTACTCCATAAGGACCCTCTTGTTCCTGAACACGTTACCCTTCGCTTTCATGTACAGGGCGTGGTAAAGATGGCGGTCGATTTTCTTGGCCTCCCTGTACTTTTTGAGGAGGCGCCTGAGGACGCGCATGCGCTGCACCCACAGTTCCTGAGAGGACAGATGGACTTAGAAGCTGGCATTTCTTTTTTTTTTTCTCAATTTCAGAGGATTTTGATTTTTCATGCTCTCTTTTTGGATATTCAATTCAATGTTCGACGTGGCAGATAGCCAAAAAAGTAGTTGTTTTCTGTTGAATAAACCGAGGAAGAATCGATATTTTCATCACATGGAGAATGTGAATTCTCAATGTATTTCTTTATACAGGGTGGGCCACCAGTAACGCCTCGGTCTCTAGAAGGCTAACCACTTATCTTCTTGGAATTCTTCCTCTAGGAAGTTGCATGTCAACATAGGCTACCATTTAAAATTATTTCGAAACATACAGGCTGTCCCCAAAAATCACAAAACACTGAAGTTGAACTTTTTTCAATCGAACACCCTATATATTATTTCATTTTGAGATTCTCCCTGATGAGCTGATTTCAACGACCCATCATACTTGGGGTCTAGCAGTTATAATTACTGAAATATAGGGTGTGAAAAATCGAGATTTTCCAAGTTCAAGAATTTTTTGAGTCGAAACTATTCATAATTGGACAAACGACTTACATGTCCCTATCTCAACTTTTGATAAACTATCTACTGATATTTAATTGGGATATATACCGGGTGATCAAGATTCTGCACCACCCTGTATTTGTTTCAATTAAATGTCAGTAGATAGTTGATCAAAAGTTGAGATAGGGACATGTGAGCCGTTTTAACCAATTATGAATGGTTTAGACACAAAAAATTCTTGAACTTGGAAAATCTCGATTTCTCACACCCTATATCTCAGTAATTATAACTGCTAGACCCCAAGTATGATGGGTCGTTGAAATCAGCTCATCAGGGAGAATCTCAAAATGAAATAATATATAGGGTGTTCGATTGAAAAAAGTTCAACTTTAGTATTTTGCGGTTTTTGGGGACACCCTGTATGTTTTGAAATAATTTCAAATGGTAGCCTTTGTTGACATGCAACTTCCTAGAGAGGAAGAATTCCAAGAAGATAAGTGGTTAGCCTTCTAGAGACCGAGACGTTACTGGTGGCCCACCCTGTATACAGGGTGTCCGGAGATAAAACCGACAAAACTTGTGGGGTTATAGGGACTGTCAGTATGATTGCAAAATGCCATAAACGAATGTCCAAAACCGCTTCGTTACTGACATACAGAGTGATTTGTGGATTTTGACAAAAAATTCAAACCGCCATATCAAATACAGGGATTAACTGATTAGATTCAAATTTGGTACACAAATCACACTGAAAGACATCGACAAGTAGGCCTTTGATCGAAAACAATATCAGGACCGGAATAATATGTTTTCCCTGTTGAGTTATTGTGAGAATAACTCACCCTGTATAATAAAAACCAAAAATTTGAACTCAGATTCGAAATTTACGGTGAAAATCGCATAAGAATTTGTTAAAGAATCTTCTGGTACTATTTTAGTTATTCCGTAATTTATTATTATTTCAATTTTTTTCATTCAAAAATCAATTATTGTCGGATAAAGTACCATCAAAATTAGTAATATAAGAAATATTTACGAAACCATGACATGAATGTCGTTATTTTCTTCTCTTAAAAACACTGGGATATTGAATGAACACCAATAAAACAAACGTTGATGACAGCTAAACAATGGAATTCTGAATTTGACACAAGCCTATACTGATACGGATTCATTATTTGAAAGTTCAGTCCGATCCTTGTTTAACAAAATTTCAACTTTTCTAAGTGGATTTCGAATCTGCGATCAGATTATTGTTATTCTAGATCAGTTATTCTCACAGAAATATAATCATAAAAAAACTCATTCCAGTCCTGATACGAATTTATTCTGCAATTTTTTCGGGTTATGAGATTATTATATTTTACTACGATTTACGGACTGATTGAAGAAAATAACGACATTCATGTCATGGTTTCGTAAATATATATTACCAATTTTGATGGTACTTTTTCCAACAATAATTGATTTTGGAATAAAAAAAATTAAAATAATAATTAATTACGGAATAACTGAGACAGTGCCAGAAGATTCTTTAACAAATTCCTATACGATTTTCACCGTAAATTTCGAATCTGAGTTCAAATTTTTGGTTATTATTATACAGGGTGAGTTATTCTCACAATAACTCAACATAGGGAAAAAATATTATTCCGGTCCTGATATTGGTTTCGATCAGAGCGCTACTTGTTGATGCCTTTCAGTGTGATTCGTGTACCAAATTTTAATCTAATCGGTTAATCCCTGTATTTGATATGGCGGATTGAATTTTTTGTCAAAATCCACAAATCACTCTGTATATCAGTTACGAAGCGGTTTTGGACATTTGTTTATGGCATTTTGCAATCATATTGACAGTCCCTATAACCCCAGAAGTTTTGTCGGTTTTATCTCCGGACACCCTGTATACATGGTGGATGGCCTATTAGAAGTATCTGGAGAACGAAAAGACAGAACTTTCTGAAAATTGGGATGCTTTGATAATTGAACATTCTCTAACCATCTAAAATATTTCATATATTATCATTCTTCAACAAAAAAATAAACAAAATATAAATTAAAATCTCAGAAGTAAAAATGAATATTTGAAAGAAACTTATGAAAAAAAGTATCTTGGGATTTTTTTTGATGATAAATTAAAGTGGGACAAACATATTATTATGAATGGTTGGATGAAAAAAATATCTCCTATTATTGAGAAGATGTCCCAAGCTGGATAAAAAAGTTGCAAATATAATTCTATATTCTCATATACTCAGTTATATTAACTATTTGATAAATGTTTGGGATACTGTTCAAAAAACAATTTTAAAACATCTGCATTATATAAAAATACATGAAAGTACTGTATAATTTACCATATGATACACCAATAAATCAATTATATAAAATAACTGAATCATTCTCATTAGAAGAAATGTTCAAAATTGAAAATATGAAAATTACATTATCATAAATAAAAGATTGAAATTCAATTTTATTTCAACAGGAAACAATGAAATTCATGATTACCAAACTAGACAACATGGTTTATTTCCTCTTGATAATGCTGATTCTTCTTTATGCCAAAAAGATTCACCCATGCTGCTCTTTTAATATAACAAATTACCAGATAATATAAAAAATTGCAGAATTACAATAAAATTCAAATACCAGCTTAAAAAATTTATTATTATTATAGATGTTTTTTTTTTCATCTTTTAATTCATATTCAAATTGATTGTTGCTCACCAATATGAAATGATTTGTTGAAATTTAATACTTAATGTATTCAGATATTATTGTTAACTATACTTACTTATCTTATACCAGAACTTGATTCTGACTGGAAGTCACACTTTCAATAAATATATAAAATAAATAATGTAATAACATGAATAATCAGACAGATTCATATCTGGTATGGTTAGTTATTAATATAAACAACATATGAAAAAATAAAATAGGAGCAATCAGGAGAGAAGGTAGCTTTTTTTGAGAAATAAAAAAACATTGTTGAGATACCTTACAGAAAACAACCACTTTCCAAGCAATCAGATATCATAATACTAACAATTTACTGTGCATTTATTATGATATCAATACATCAAAAGTATAGTGTATACATCCATGACAAGGCATGTCAAACCAAGGTTGGGATGATTTAAATCAAATGATTTCAATAATAATTGGAATCAAATTATAAATTGCTGTTAAAACAATTTGCCAAAGCTGACAACTCAACAAGAAATTCAAAAAAGATAGTTTATTTGAAAATCATTATGAATTGAAAAGGTTTATGTTATGTTCAGTTTTATGCACATTTGAATTGAATCTAAGCCTTTGTATCTCTTTTCCTCTGGAACAACTCAGTTTCCATGCTGGTTGAATTTTCCAAATGAGATCTCCTTGCTGGGAAATCTGATTCTATAGGGATTCATTTCACTTGCTGTTCATCTAGTAATGCCAAAATGCATCACTTTCAGAATTTCACAATAATCTTTCTTCAGAACACTGCAGTTTAAAAATACTTGCACAACACACTTCAACAATATACAACATTTAACTCTCTCACAGAACAATATTTCAATAATAAGCCAGAACATTCCAAGAAAACTGCGAAAAATGCTTGGGATGTGGTTAGTATTTGAAAAAAATTGTACAAGCAACCAAGGAAAGCAATGAATACAGAAAGGTCCATGAATTCCAATGATAAAATTGCCAGAAATACCAAAGAATGCAAAAACAAGCAAAGAATTACTAGAAATTCCTATATTCCAAAGCCCCACAAAAAATTCCATGACAGGTAAGAGAGAATTACACACAGAAAATGAAGCAATGAAAAATGCAAAAGATGCCAAAGCATTCCAAGGAATGCTAGTGAATTCCTATGGAAGCCAAGGAATTCCATTGGATCCCAGAGAATTCCAAAGGATACCAGGGGATTTCAAGGAATACCAAGAGACAATAAGAATTACCAAGAGTCCATGGAGAGCCAAGTAGTTACCAATAATGTCAAAATATTCCATAGAAAGCCAAGGAATACCAAGGGACTCCAAAACATATTTGAGAAACACATCAATACAAGGAGGACCAGGAATATCTGGGATTTTCAAGTAAATCCAAGAATTTCCAAGAGATAATAAATGCCTCAAGGCTCATGATGATGGAATAAACAACAATCCCATGAAATTTCACAGAATTCCATGGAGTACCAAGAAAGAATTCAATAAAATTCCAGGAAATTCTCATGAGTTTCAGTTTTTAGGAGTTGATATGATTTGTAGAACTTGAAACATACAATATGTATAGAATTTCAAGAAATCAACACAGTCTTGAATGATGGTAAAGTATTAGCCTGTTAGAATGTTCAAATTTTCATATTACTTATTTCTAATCTCACATGGTTTTAGAACTATAGATGAGAAACTTGGGTAGCTTGAAATACAAAATGAAATTATGATAGGTCATTCAATATATTCCTCCTAGAGACTGATGATGGAAAATATTGAAAAATAAAATCAAAGTAATACCACCATAGAAAATTTGTATTTGTTAACCAGATCAGTGAACCTACATTACCTAATTCAACAATGACATCCATCAAGGTTATGAACTTCATTTGGATCACTGAATCTGATCATTCAATGAAGATAGAGATAAGCATCAGTTGTTGAATTCAGCAATGTGGTGTTATGGAAAAACAGTTACCTTTTGAGGCATACGGGCATTTGCCGTACCCTTCCTCTTTCCAAATCCACAATGCCTTCCCTTCCTTCTAGCTTCAGTGTTCTTGCGTACACGGGCCCTGGAGTGTACTGCCACTGGCTTCTTGATGATAAGACCATCCTTGATGAGCTTACGGATGTTTTGTCCTAGTAAATGGAACGTGTGATATACCTTTCAGGTCCACAGGATGTGAGAGGATGAGCCCCCTTTGAAAAATTTTAGTAACTTACTTGAGTTGGTGTTGGCGATTTCGTTGATTTCATTTGGATCCAACCATACTTTCTTCTTACCACATCGCATTACCGAGGCTGCTAGCCTCTTTTGAAGTTTCAAGGAACTGGAAATGAAAATAGAAAATAAAGGACAATGACAGACGCCATGTGGTGAAATATTTCGAATTTGCGAAATACGACTATAAATGGGCAACAACTGATAGTGGATGATGAATCGAATTGAATTTACACTAGGATTGCAAATAAGTATTCGATTTTCTAGTTAAAAAAGGAAAAATACTTCAACTAACCTCATTTTCACGTTTAACCCGCAACGTGTTTAGTGAAAAGAACTTCACGTGCAAATGCTACCAACCTGACGGCATGACGATTGACGAGTGAAGGCTGAAGGCGCAACGGCTGTCAACGTCAACGAATTGTCAAGACGTCAAATGTCATTGTCAATCTCCACTCGTTTTAAATTCTGTGTTTTTGAATTTGAATTCTTGTCGCCTTTAGAGCTTTGCCACTTTTACTTTACTAGCTTTTGTAAATTGAAACTGATTTTCAAAATATATAAAATAAGTATTCCACATATTTATTGCAATGAATAGCTTCCGATTGCTGAAACAGTTCAGAACCTTTGTAATGGGTTCATTAAGATTGAGATATGGTGGTGAGTAAACTTTTTCAGTCTCTATTTCTTTCAAATTCCAAAGGTTAGTGGGTAAAACTGAATTTATCATGCGATGGGTTTTTTTCTGAAATTTTTTTTAGGTACTTACGTATTTTTGTCTGAAAAACACGAATTTGATAATGAAAATGTGAACAAACCACTATATTTATGGAGATATTTCGAGAAAAAGTTCGAAATTTCGCGTGCTAGCTCTTCATATTTTGTCATTGGACACTTTATATACTCTTGATGTACTTCAATGACACATTTTTCTATAGAAAATTCAACAGGAAATATGATTTTATGGCAAGTTTTTCATATTTAGTGAACAAGCATACTACACCACTATTTTGAATGATATTCTTCCGTCTCTTCACTAAATATGGATAAATCACAAGAAAATCATATTTCTAGTTGACTCAATTATAGAAAAAAATGTGTCGTACATTGTGATATATATAAATTGTCCAATGATGAAAAAAAAGGGCAATTTTTTTTTAAATGCCATCCAGAAGACAGGCGGAAAAGAATGTGTTTGTAACTTTATACTTTATAGTGAAATATCTTAATAATTAATGGTTTGTTCACATTTTCATTATCAAATTCGTGTTTTTCAGACAAAAATAAGTGGGTACCAAAAAAATTCCGAAAAAAAAACCATCACATGATAAATGCAGTTTCACCATAACATTTTCCTTATTTCCTTAGTTCATGAAAGCAATGAGTAAATCTGTCATTTGAGCATGGATTTTTGACCAATAATTGATTTCTAAGAGATAAATTTCCACACAAAGTATGAAAAATCAATCTTCTGCTCTGTATGCTTTGCTCTGATGTCATCAGAGGTAATTTATTGACAATGATTTTGTCAAAGTTTTTCCAAATTCCATCAGAAACGCACTGTTACTCATATGTCATTTTTTCTCTTGGAAACTAAAAGAAAAAATTGCAGAATTAAAGTGAAAAATAAAATCTCAACAAAAATATCATCCAACACACTCATCTTGAAGTGTGTAGAAAATATATTATTCCAATAAAAAACAGATATAAATGTTAGGGCTATAATTTCAACAAAATAGGCATAAATTACAAAAACAATTCATAAATACAAATGCTAGGGAATGACTTATTGATAATAGGAATCCAATAAAAGAAAATAAAAGGCTAACTGAATTGAACAAAAAAGAAGCATCAATTACAAAACAAAAACCATCATATAAATGCCAAACTGCCCAATACAAGTCCACTATGGTTTGCAGTGGTTGAGATAACGTGGATAAAGACAGACTTCTCTGATGTGGTATCTGTTGAGCAACCAACACACAAATCTCTCCAGACCCAGGCCATAACCCCCATGGGGGCATGTCCCGTATTTCCTCTGATCAGTGTACCAGAAGTATGGGGCTGGGTCTATTCCCTCTTTCTTGTATCTAAAAAAAAAAGTTTGAATGAAGACACAATCGATTTTTTGAAAATTTCATCACTGAACTGTTCAATTTTTGGTTTATCCCCATGAGAACGGAAATGTATGCAATTTTTTTCTGAATTCACACTAATTTAGGAGATATTTTGTTCATTTTTCAAGTATATTTTTGGTTTCTTAGGGTAACACATGAAACTTTTATCATTTTGCAAAATAGTGACTAGGGAGTGGTCGTTATTTTCTCAAAATTCCCATAACTTTGGAAGATATTTCAATTTTTTTAATTCCCAAAATCCATCCTTTTGGATCCATAGTACATAAAAACCAATTTTTCCTCATTTTATAAAGAAAGTGCTAGGATGTGGTTCTCAAGGTAACTTATTTCAATATTTCCACTAGTTGAAGATTTCTTAATTTTCTTCCAAACTTCGAAAATTTGTCTTTGTATCCTGGGTTGGATTTGTAGGATGATTTCAACAACTATTATTTCATCAATATTGCCCCTAATCAACAGATATTCAGATTTCCATCATTTTCTGAAAAAATCAACCAAGAACCAAGATATCAAATTGCCGGAGGGTGATACAACTTTTTGGTAATCAACATGAATCTTTCATTTTCTCTTGTTGGGGACTGTTCTGGGGGGCTTTTTCTAAGGAAGGTTCAACCAACTATTTCTTATAATTGCCATTACTGGGAGATTTCAATGAAGAATTTCACTAAAATGCGCCATTACTTCTGTAACTTTTTATTTGCAAGGTTCAATTTCCTTACTTTTGAGATTTTATTCATTTTCCCGTTCTAGAGATACCAGAATTTCAATAAAATGCGTCATTACTTCTGTAACATTGCATTTGCAAGGTTCAATTTCTCACTTTTAATTAATTTTCTGTTCTACACGTTCCTTAATTTCAATAAAACGCAACATTTCATTTGTAACATTGCATTTGCAAGGTTCAATTTTCGCACTTTCGGGAGATTTTATTGTTTTAATGTATTTTCCGGTTCTACACGTTTCTTAATTTCAATAAAACGCAACATTTCATTTGTAACATTGCAGTTGAAAGGTTCAATTTCTCACTTTCGGGAGATTTTATTGTTTTAATTCATTTTCCGGTTCTACATGTTCCTTAATTTCAATAAAACGCAACATTTCATTTGTAACATTGCATTTGCAAGGTTCAATTTTCTCAATTCTCGAGATTTCATTGTGTTTTTGCATTTTCCTGTTCTAGAGATACCTAAATTTCAATGAAATGCAACATTCTTTCTGTAACATTGCATTAACTAGGTTCAATTTTATCACTTTCAGAGAATGTATTGTTTTTATTCATTCCGCCGTTCTAAATATACCTGGATTTCAATAAAATGCTATATTACTTCTGTAACATTGCATTTGCAAGGTTCAATAGTTTTTATTCGTTTTCCCATTCAAAGGATACCTGAATACATCTGATAGTTTTGCATTTGTGAGGTTCAATTATCTCACATTTCCACAAGGAAAGAATACTCACCCATCGAGCAATTCCTTTAGATCCCATATCCTCATTGAACCACCCACAATTTCGCCAACATTCGGCAACAACACGTCAACGCTTTCCGTCAACCTGTTGTCCTCGGGACACTTGCTCATATAAAACGACTTGATGTTGGCGGGAAAACGGCACAGCATGATTGGCTTGTTGATTTGGTCCGTCATTTTTCTTTCCGGCATCTCGGGAATGTCCTAAAAACGATTTAAACGCTCAACAGACTGATGAATTCGGTCGTACTGTTCGAAATTTGATGAATAAACACATTTCAATTGAGAATAAAGGCCCAAGGCACTGATACAATCGGCCGTACTGTTCGAAATTTGATAAATAAATACATTTCAACTGAGAATATACGCTCAAGAGATTGATAAATTCGGTCGTACTGTTCGAAATTTTATGAATAAACACATTTCAACTGAGATTCTACGCTCAAGAGACTGATGAATTCGTTCGTACTATTCGGAATTTGTAGAATAAACATATTTCAATTGAGAATAAACGCTCAATGAACTGATAAATTCGGTCGTATTGTTGGAAATTTGATGGATAAGCACATTTTAATTGAGAATTAGAGCTCGACACTCATAAACTCGGTCATATTGTTAGAAATTTGATGAATAAACGCTCAAGAGACTGATAAATTCGGTCGTTCACTTCGAAATTTGAGAATAAACACATTTCAATTGAGAATGAACACTCATGAGTCTGATGAATTCGGTAGTACTGTTTGAAATTAGATGAATAATAACATTTCAATTGAGAATAAACGCTCAACAGATTGATAAATTCAATCGTACTGTTCGAAATTTGAGACTGATGAATTCGGTCGTACTGATCGAAATTTGATGAATAAACATACCTCAATTGAGAATAAATGCTCGACAGACTGGTGAATTTGGCGTACTGTTCGAAATTTGATGAATAAGCATATTTTTAATTGAGAATAAACGCTCATGGAACTGATGAATTTGGTCGAACTTTTCAAAATTTGATGAATAAACACATTTCGATTGGAATAAACGGTCAAGAGACTAATAAATTCGGTCGTACTGTTGAAAATTTGATGGATACGCAAATCTTAATTGAGAATAAAAGCTCAAGAAATAAACTCGGTAAAATTTGAAGAATAAACACATTCTAATTGAGAGTAAACGCTCAAGAGACTGATCAATTCGGCCGTTCACTTCGAAATTTGATGAATAAACATATTTCAAATGAGAATAAACGCTCATGAGATTGATAAATTCGGTCGTACTGTTCGAAATTTGATGAATAAACACATTTCAATTGAGAATAAAGGCTCAAGACACTGATACATTCGGCCGTACTGTTCGAAATTTGCTGAATGAATACATTTCAACTGAGAATAAACGCTCAAGAGACTGATAAATTCGGTCGTACTGTTCGAAATTTGATGAATAAACACATTTCAACTGAGAATAAACGCTCAAGAGACTGATGAATTCGATCGTACTGTTCAAAATTTGATGAATAAACACATTTCAATTGAGAATAAGCGCTCAAGCGACTGATAAATTCGGTAGTACTATTCGAACTTTGATGAATAAACACATTTCAACTGAGAATAAACGCTCAACAGACTGATAAATTTAGTCGTACTGTTCGAAATTTGGTGAATAAAAATATTTCAATTGAGAATAAACGCCCAAGAGACTGATAAATTCGGTCGTGCTGTTCGAAATTTGATGAATAAACACATTTCAACTGAGAATAAACGCTCAAGAGACTGATGAATTCGATCGTACTGTTCGAAATTTGATGAATAAACACATTTCAACTGAGAATAAGCGCTCAAGAGACTGATAAATTCGGTAGTACTATTCGAACTTTGATGAATAAACACATTTCAACTGAGAATAAACGCTCAACAGACTGATAAATTAGGTCGTACTGTTCGAAATTTGGTGAATAAGTACATTTCAATTGAGAATAAACGCTCATCGGACTGATAAATTTGGTCGTACTGTTCGGAATTTGTTGAATAAACACATTTCAATTGAGAATAAACGCTCATGAGACTGACAAATTCGGTCGTACTGTTCAAAATTTGATGAATAAACACATTTCAATTGAGAATAAACGTACACAATGTGGAACAAACGAATTTCAAACTGATTATTCCGAGTTGAAGTGGGACTGGAATACTTGAATCGAGAAGTATTGCACTCCAGGAACGTAACAACTTTTTTTTTAAGGGGGTCAAAAACAGAAAATGTATAAAATCTGTTTTTTTTACGAACAAAGGCTTACTAAATTTTTTTCCTGCGGGGTCAAAAAACTTTTTTCCAGATGTTTACCTCTCCGAATTCGTAAAATGTTCCATCCTCCTTGGTGATGTTGTGCTCTTTCAGATATTCGATCGCCTCGGAATAGTTCATCCTGAGGAAGGGCCTCTGCGGCACTTGGAAGTCGGGGTTCAGTTCGCGGACTATGTGGCCGTAGGGGGAGGCCAACACCCTGTCTACCACGTCGCAAATGAGGTCCTCCAAACGATTGAGGAGGTCATCGAAGGTGATGAAGGGACATTCGGCTTCCACGTGAGTGTATCTAATAATAATGGTGATAATAATCGTCTTTAATTCTTTCGATCGACTGATTACATTTTTTGACGTAACTTTTTAGTGATTTTGATTAGGAAATATGACAAAAATAACGTTTTCAAGTGATATTGGCTCTCTTGTTTAAAACCGATATTTTCATCCGTTTTATAGAAAAAACGCAATTGAACACTTCAAAGTCTCTGAAGGGGATTTCAAATATTATTTCATTTATGAAGAGTTTGCTTTGGACTGTCAGATAATTGTTACTGGTGAATTAATTTTCTTGTTAGTGAATAAATTTCGGTGCGAGTTTAGTCAATACTTTTTCGATTGAAACGCCCTGTATCTTTTTCCACAGCAATATTTCATTAAGGCATATTTTGGTCCAATGAATCCGCCCTTAGCTTATGTCCCAATATTTATGACTCTCCCTGTACATTGTACGTTTGGTAAAATTGTTTTTCAAGCTTATGAAAGAAAAGGGCGGAGTTCAATTTATGTCAAGATCAGGTCTCTAGTGAATTGTTGCAAGAAACTGCTAACTTTATTAAAAAGTATGCAGTCTTGCGTAAAATAATAGACCTCTTCAATATGACGCTTAAACTAAAAAAAAAATATAGCCGTTTTGGAAAAACTGAAAATCACTGATTTTGTTCTCATTTATTTTCTTTGTTAATATTTGGGAAAGGAATTTGATGTTTTGCGTAAATTTTGCGTAACCATTACAAAGAGGTTTGGATTGTCAAAAAATATTATATCATCAATTTTTTCCGAGATGTACTATTCAACTTTTGTTTTTTCATATGGACACTATATTGGGCACATTATTTGTTTTTTATTCCTTTGAATAGGACTAGAAATTCCCTTCACAGCCATATTCAACATATTGGAATTATCACATGGAGCAGCAAAGAAAAACAGTAAACACCATTTTTCGCTGGTTATCACTACTCAAAGTTGAACTGGCCATTTTCAGATTTGGTAGGCCATGATAATGAGAAAATGAAAATAATATCAGTCATCAATACTACAGTATTACTACTTATTTATAGTATTTATATCCAGACTTGGTAGACTTTCACGTTCAGGAAGCATAAAGAGCAATTATTATAAATGAGTGATTCATTCTGCAGCCATAATTATTTTATGCCAAACTGGCAGACTTTGCTTCACTATCCATGGTTACATCCAGACTATGATTTGCTATCCATGGTTACATCGTTGAAAACGCTGATAGACCGATAGACCTGGGATGTACTCAAACTTCGCCGAAAAAATAATCTCGTGAAATCAGTGTACTCGAAGCCCTAAAGCTAAACCACAAATGTTCCTTTAAAAAATCAAGATATCAACCAATGAAAGGTACAGGACACTTTCAGCTTGGATACACGTTTAATGATTTTGGTGCTCCTCAAGGAACCATTCTAGGTCCAGTTCTCTTCATCATGTATATCAATGACATTGAAAACAAATACTGATATGCTAGATACACCCTGAAGACCAAAGCAGTTTTTAATGCTGATAAAACTACAGCAATAGTCTCATTTCGGAAATCCCCTGTACATAGCCGATTTGATTGACAAATCATCAAAGTGATAAATAGACGTATAATGATTCATTCAATGAAGTGCATAACTCGGTGCATTAAACCAATAAAAAACAAATGATGAAAGTTATCTAATCCATTATCAAACAAAATGTTGAAATAATATAGAATATCTAATACCTACTCATGAGGATTACTTTATCTAAACCCCAGCCCTTATTGACTTATAAACATCGACTTTTCCTTGTCAAATATATGTTGTTTTTTTAATGTGCCTGTTATACTGATAATTCCATGAAAAATTATTTCCCAACCATGGGCGGAAAGTTTATTTTCTCAAAAGATTTGTCCTTTCGTCAATTTTATGCTGCTAAAAAATAATGTAACGTCTCACTTTATCAACAACTTACTCTGCTAAATGTCTTCGTGTCCTGCTTTGTTCTGCTCTGAAACTTTCAGCTATACAGTAAACATCGCCCATAGATGGCAGACATGTTTCCAAATATAGTTGAGAACTCTGCGTCAAATATGCTTCTTCCCTATCAATGGAGAGTGTCATGATAATAACAGTAATAATAATGATTCATCCAAAATCAGGGTTGGAATGAGTCATGACTTTCATAAATAAGTAAAGAAGTCCGACTCTTTGAATTAATTCACTGTATTAAATTGTATTTTCCTTAATGAAATACCAAAAAATGAAACAGAATACTTGGGTTTTTATTAATTTCAAAAATTTTGAAGCTCAACATAGCAAGATTGTGCAATTTTTGCAAAATAAACTGAAAAATATTGTTTGAATGAAAATTATTAAATATGCAACTCATTGCTTCACTAAGCATTTTCATTAAAAAAGTTCGTCAGGTTGCCATATAATGCGTTTCTTTCAGATTAAACTAAACTGCTCAACACATGAAACGTAAAATCGCCTTTTTTTCGATCAAATTTTAATCATCATAACTCTCGATTTCCTCAACCGATTTTCAATTATTTTTCAGTTTCTGAAAGCTCGTTTCATTGAGTATCGAACCTATGGATATGATTTTTTCATCTTTTCCGGATTAGATTCAACAGGGTGATAATCAAAGCTGTTCATTTTTCCAAAAATTTCAAACGCCTCCCGTTTGAAAGAAAAAGGTTTCAATTTTTTTTGGGGTCAAAAACATATTGCTTCATATGTTTTCTCGATACTGTAAAAATGTTTTAGGAATTACTGAAATATGAATGTTTATTAAGATAATGCATAATTTGATGCTCTAATTTCTATTGGTTTTGTGTTCCTGTCAATCTGGATCGAATGGTGGTAAATCTCGAAATGAAGCATGATCAACCTATTCTTATAAACAGGGTGGTCCTCAAACAACAATTATGACATCAAGTAATAAAACAATCTTGTTTTGACGAGCAAGAAAATTTCGAAGCAGGAAACCGATTGAGATGTTTTCTGGCGATCAAAGCGTGTAGGAGAGGTTTTCATCACCATGTCATGTTGCTACAGAATCTATTGCAAAATCAAACCACTGAAATTGTTAGAAAAACCGGATTTTCAGAGCGTCGTTCTCACTTTGTGATAGATTTTTAGAAGATAATTTCAAGGCAAATGAGATAGACTCAAGAAATATACAGGATGTCGTCTAAATGAGAAAAGTTGCTGCCGAGACATACCATGCAACTGACATTGAATTCATCACAATTGGAGTAGATTAACGAGTAACATGATGTGATTTCATTTGTGGTGAACGTCTACACAAAGGACTTATAGTGAATATTTGTCGAAATTCAAAAGAATGGCAGACGTGAGTCACATGGATATGTAATGTCCTGACTCAGAAAAAACATGAATTTTTCATATTGAACTCACAGTCACAATGTTCCAGTTCCATGACTTTTCATCAATAACACCAGTTCAAATCACATCACTCTCACCTTCAATTGAATTCAACATTGAAGTGAACATGAAAAATATTAAAATTCACGAGATTGCAAGACTTCTCAATCGGTTTCCTGCTTCGAAATTTTCTTGCTCGTCAAAACAAGATTTTTTTTATTTCTTGATGTCATAATTGTTGTTTGAGGACCACCCTGTTTATAAGAATAGGTTGATCATGCATCATTTCGAGATTTTTAACCACCATTCGATCCAGATTTACAGGAACACAAAGCCAATAGAAATAAGGGCGTCAAATTATGCATTATCTTAATAAACATTCATATTTCAGTAACGCGTGTGACAATTCCAAAAAAAATGTTCACAGTATCGAGAAATCATACGAAGCAATATGTTTTTGACCCTAAAAAAAATTGAAAAATTTTTCTTTCAAACAGAAGGCGTTTGAAATTTCTGGAAAAATGTACAGCTTTGATTATCATCCTGTAGAATCTCATCCAGAAGAGATGGAATAGTCATATCCATAGGTTCGATAGTCAATGAAACGAGCTTTCAGAAACAAGAAAATAATTGAAGGAAATCGAAAGTTATGATGATGCGATTTTACGTTTCATGTGTTGAGCAGTTCAGTTTAAATTGAAATAGTCCAGTCATCATATCCAGATAACGGACCTTACCCGTGAATAATTTTTTAGTGTTTTTTTTTCATAGGTGTCTCGGGGGGGTCACTGGGAGTGTAAATACAAAATGGCGACCAAATCAAGCTTTTGCGTATGTTCGTTTTCGGAAAAACAGGTAAAGACCAAATTTGTCCAAAATGTGATTCTCTACAAGTTTGTTTCTTCTCATTGATGATGTAAAGTTGAGAATAAACGAGATAATGATGATATTTCGAATGAGTCGTTTTTTTTAGGTTTAATTCCGAAAATATCGATTTTCGGAAAACAGGTAAGGACAAAATTTGTCCAAAATTTGATTCTCTACAAGTTTGTTCCTGTTCATTTATGCCGTAAAGTTGAAAACAAACGAGATAATGAAAATATTTCGAATTTGTCGCTTTTTTCAGGTTTAATTTACAAAATATCGATCCTATCAGAAAAATTGTGAGGACCAAACTTGTAGAGAACCAAATTTACTACAATTTTTGTCCCCAAACTTTTTCTGTAAAATCAAAAATGACCGAGTTATTCAAGAAAAATCGTTTTTTAACAAAAAAACAGTTTTCGAACATACGCAAAAAGCTTGATTTGGTCGCCATTTTGAATTAACACTTCCAGTGACCCCCCCCGAGACACCTATGAAAAAAAAAACCGCTGAAAAATTATTCACGGGTCAAAGTCTATAATAACTGGACTAAAAGTTATAATGCGATTTGTTTTCATTGGAGACAGTTTGAATTAATTCATGATATTCAATAAAAAAAAGTTCATTCGAATTGATTCACGGATTGAATCAGTGACTCAATTCATATGAATTAATTCCTGCCAACCCTGTTGGAAAGGTATTGAAATTTGATTTAAAATCATTCTTTTATTCAATGGTAATTTGGTAAAGCCTACCCGAAATAATCCATTTTGAAAAGTGTAGATCCCCCTTCAACTTGAGTTTGGACTATAGAAGGAGGTGTAATTTCACAATATCCTCTGTCCAAATAATGGTCTCTAAAATATAACAATCCTATTTAGAATAGTACATTCTCGTGTTTTTCATCAATCAGGGTGTTTGTTTCGAATTTCACACCACAGACCCCAGTCCACTCATTTTTTGAACTAATACAATCACTGTAAGCAAAGTAAGAATTTTCAATTCAATTATAAATGTTGGAGCTCAAATGGGGTTAGTAACAAAGCCTACACAGAACACACCATTCCGAGAATCAACTCGTTCATAAGATTTCTAGCCAAACAATGAGAAAGACGATGGCCAGTGTGGAATTAGAAACTAATTTTTTTTTTGAAAATGTACCTGAAAGCTTGCAAAAGCACAGATCTGATTCTCAACACCTTTGAAGTGTTTTCTCCTCTGATCATTATGTGACGGTTCTCGGCTTGAACGTCAGGTAGAGCCTGCTCGTTCAATAGAGAATCGGCCCCCCCGGGGGGCGCAAGGCCGATTAATTCCCAATAATCTACGACTAGTTCGTGGTCGCCAGGGGCCTAGGGAGAAAATTAGGGTTTATTTTTTTTTACTGAAAATTTGTGACTTGATAGAAAATACAGTTCTCAACACACTAAATGGACCACTCATAATTTGACTCTGACTGACCGATCTTCATGCGGTTTTCGATATCCGATGTGATATTTCATCGGCTTCAAAGAGAGCTAGAACACTCTGAAAAAGGTCGCAGAACAAAACTTACACAGGGTGTAAAGTGGAACCATTACACTATGGTCTACATTTCCAATGCTGACAGAACTAGAGAAATTTTTTTCTGATCAAAAGTCGGTCATATTATGATACACCTGGGACCTCATCTCGGGACGTTTTCGTGATATATGTCCTTATTTGGCCATTGGAACAAAAATTCGATTTTTTTTTTTCGAAAGACTTGTATTTCTTGAATTTTTTCTCTAGAACTCCACTTGAACTGACTATTGGTAAGAACTGTTTCCACCACAGGTTCGTTTATTACGACATCGAATTAGTCTATGTGAATTTTTTCAGATTATTTAATAGGCCAAATAAAAATTTTCATTTCCCCACTTCAGTACGATATAGTCACCGAGCCATCTTCGGACGGCCGAAAGTGCAAGAAAACGGCAGAAATCCTACCGAATTATTGCTTTTCCAGTAGAAAATGACACGCTGAATCGAATGAGACTATAATCAGCCCGATAGGACAGATAGTTTTTGAGATATCTGCGCTCAAAGTCAGTTTTTCGCTTTCATTGCCAATAGCAGCACTCTGGTAGGCTACTACGTCTCCATTTGCCAAAATTTCCCGATTTCCACCACAGATTCGTTCATTTCGACATCGAATTAGTTTATGTGATTTTTTTCAGATTTTTAATAGGCCAAATAAAAATTGTCTTTTTCCCACCTAAGACTTCAGTACGATATAGTCACCGAGCCTTCTTCAGACGGCCGAAAGTCTATTTCAGCAATTATCAGGAATTTTTGCAATTTCTGCAATTTTCAGGCATTTCTGCGATTTTTGCGATTCTCAGGATTTTTTAGGAATTTTTGCAATTTTCAGGCATTTTTGCGATTTTTGCAATTTTCAGTCATTTTTGCCAATTTCGCGATTTTTGCAATTTTCAGGAATTTTTTGCGATTTTTGAAATTTTCAGGAATTTTTGCGATTTTTGCAAATTTTCAGGAATTTTTTGCGATTTTTGCAATTTTCAGTCATTTTTGCGATTTTTGCAATTTTCAGGAATTTTTGCGATTTTTGCAATTTTCAGGAATTTTTGCGATTTTTGCAATTTTCAGGCATTTTTGCGATTTTTGCAATTTTCAGGAATTTTTGCGATTTTTTGCAATTTTCAGGAATTTTTGCGATTTTTGCAATTTTCAGTCATTTTTGCGATTTTTTGCAATTTTCAGTCATTTTTGCGATTTTTGCAATTTTCAGGCATTTTTGCGATTTTTGCAATTTTCAGTCATTTTTTGCGATTTTTGCAATTTTCAAGAATTTTTTGCGATTTTTGCAATTTTCACGTCATTTTTTGCAGATTTTTGCAATTTTCAGGCATTTTTGCGATTTTAGCAATTTTCAGTAATTTTTGCGATTTTTGCAATTTTCAGGCATTTTTGCGATTTTTGCAATTTTCAGGAATTTTCGCGATTTTTGCAATTTTCAGGAATTTTTGCAATTTTCAGGCATTTTTGCGATTTTTGCAATTTTCAGTAATTTTTGCGATTTTTGCAATTTTCAGGCATTTTTGCGATTTTTGCAATTTTCAGTCATTTTTGCGATTTTTGCAATTTTCAGTCATTTTTGCGATTTTTGCAATTTTCAGGAATTTTTGCGATTTTTGCAATTTTCAGGAATTTTCGCGATTTTTGCAATTTTCAGTAATTTTTGCGATTTTTGCAATTTTCAGGAATTTTCGCGATTTTTGCAATTTTCAGGAATTTTCGCGATTTTTGCAATTTTCAGGAATTTTTTGCGATTTTTGCAATTTTCAGTAATTTTTGCGATTTTTGCAATTTTTCAGTGATTTTTTGCAATTTTCAGTCATTTTTTGCGATTTTTGCAATTTTCAGGAATTTTTGCGATTTTTGCAATTTTCAGGAATTTTTGCGATTTTTGCAATTTTCAGGAATTTTCCCGCGATTTTTGCAATTTTCAGAAATTTTCGCGATTTTTGCCAATTTTCAGGAATTCTTGCGATTTTTGCAATTTTCAGTAATTTTTGCAATTTTCAGTAATTTTTGCGATTTTTTTCAATTTTCAGGCATTTTTGCCAATTTCGCGATTTTTGCAATTTTCAGGAATTTTTGCGATTTTTGCAATTTTCAGGCATTTTTTGCGATTTTTGCAATTTTCAGGAATTTTTTGCGATTTTTGCAATTTTCAGTCATTTTTGCGATTTTTGCAATTTTCAGAAATTTTTGCGATTTTTGCAATTTTCAGGATTTTTTGCGATTTTTGCAATTTTCAGGCATTTTTGCGATTTCTGCAATTTTCAGGCATTTTTGCGATTTTTGCAATTTTCAGTGATTTTTGCGATTTTTGCAATTTTCAGGCATTTTTTGCCGATTTTTTGCAATTTTCAGGATTTTTTGCGATTTTTTGCAATTTTCCAGGATTTTTTTGCGATTTTTGCAATTTTCAGGCATTTTTGCGATTTTTGCAATTTTCAGAGCATTTTTGCGGTTTTGCAATTTTCAGTCATTTTTGCGATTTTTGCAATTTTCCAGGATTTTTTGCGATTTTTGCAATTTTCAGTCATTTTTGCGATTTTTGCAATTTTTCAGTCATTGTTGCGATTTTTGCAATTTTTCAGGCATTTTTGCGGTTTTTGCAATTTTCAGTCATTTTTGCGATTTTTGCAATTTTCAGGATTTTTTGCGATTTTTGCAATTTTCAGGAATTTTTGCGATTTTTGTAATTTTCAGGCATTTTTGCGATTTCTGCAATTTTCAGGCATTTTTGCGATTTTTTGCAATTTTCAGAAATTTTTGCGATTTTTTGCAATTTTCAGGTTTTTTTGCGATTTTTGCAATTTTCAGGCATTTTTGCGATTTCTGCAATTTTCCAGGCATTTTTTGCGATTTTTGCAATTTTCAGTGATTTTTGCGATTTTTGCAATTTTCAGGCATTTTTGCGATTTTTTGCAATTTTCAGGAATTTTTGCGATTTTTGCAATTTTCAGTAATTTTTGCGATTTTTGCAATTTTCAGTCATTTTTTGCGATTTTTTCAATTTTCAGGAATTTTTTGCGATTCTTGCAATTTTCAGGAATTTTTGCGATTTTTGCAATTTTCAGGAATTTTCGCGATTTTTGCAATTTTCAGAAATTTTCGCGATTTTTGCAATTTTCAGGAATTCTTGCGATTTTTTGCAATTTTCAGTAATTTTTGCAATTTTCAGTAATTTTTGCGATTTTTTCAATTTTCAGGCATTTTTGCCAATTTCGCGATTTTGCAATTTTCAGGAATTTTTGCGATTTTTGCAATTTTCAGGCATTTTTGCGATTTTTGCAATTTTCAGGAATTTTTGCGATTTTTGAAATTTTCAGTCATTTTTGCAATTTTTGCAATTTTCAGGAATTTTTGCGATTTTTGCAATTTTCAGTCATTTTTGCGATTTTTGCAATTTTCAGTCATTTTTGCGATTTTTGCAATTTTCAGGCATTTTTGCGATTTTTGCAATTTTCAGTCATTTTTGCGATTTTTGCAATTTCAAGAATTTTTGCGATTTTTGCAATTTTCAGTCATTTTTGCGATTTTTGCAATTTTCAGGCATTATTTGCGATTTTAGCAATTTTCAGTAATTTTTGCGATTTTTGCAATTTTCAGGCATTTTTGCGATTTTTGCAATTTTCAGGAATTTTCGCGATTTCTGCAATTTTCAGGAATTTTTTGCGATTTTTGCAATTTTCAGGCATTTTTGCGATTTTTTGCAATTTTCAGGAATTTTTGCGATTTTTTGCAATTTTCAGTAATTTTTGCGATTTTTGCAATTTTCAGGCATTTTTGCGGTTTTTGCAATTTTCCGTCATTTTTGCGATTTTTGCAATTTTCAGGATTTTTTTGCGATTTTTGCAATTTTCAGGATTTTTGCGATTTTTGCAATTTTCAGGAATTTTCGCGATTTTTGCATTTTTCAGGCATTTTTGCGGTTTTTGCAATTTTTCAGGATTTTTGCGATTTTTGCAATTTTCAGGAATTTGTGCGATTTTTGCAATTTTCAGGGAATTTTTGCAATTTTTTGCAATTTTTCAGTAATTTTCGCGATTTTTGCAATTTTCAGGAATTTTTGCGATTTTTTGCAATTTTTCAGTAATTTTTGAGATTTTTGCAATTTTCAGGAATTTTTGCGATTTTTGAAATTTTCAGGATTTTCGCGATTTTTGCAATTTTCAGGAATTTTTGCGATTTTTGCAATTTTCAAGGAATTTTTGCAATTTTTGCAATTTTCAGGAATTTTCGCGATTTTTGTAATTTTCAGGAATTTTTGCGATTTTTGCAATTTTCAGGCATTTTTTGCGATTTCCTGCAGTTTTCAGGCATTTTTTGCGATTTTTGCAATTTTCAGGAATTTTTGCGATTTTCGCAATTTTCAGTCATTTTTGCGATTTTCGCGATTTTTGCAATTTTCAGGAATTTTTGCGATTTTTGCTATTTTCAGGAATTTTTGCGATTCTTGCAATTTTCAGGCATTTTTTGCGATTTTTTGCAATTTTCAGTCATTTTTGCGATTTTTGCAATTTTCAGTCATTTTTGCGATTTTTGCAATTTTCAGTCATTTTTGCGATTTTTGCAATTTTCAGGCATTTTTTGCGATTTTTGCTAATTTTTAGGAATTTTTTGCGATTTTTGCAATTTTCAGGAATTTTTGCGATTTTTGCAATTTTCAGGCATTTTTGCGATTTCTGCAATTTTCAGTCATTTTTGCGATTTTTGCAATTTTCAGGCATTTTTGCGATTTTTGCAATTTTCAGGAATTTTCGCGATTTTTGCAATTTCTTCAGGCATTTTTGCGATT